TACGTCTGAAGCAGTGATGAATCTCTATCTCCGTCTTTTCCAAATGTTAGTTAACGGGTATCGTTTGTCATTCTCTTATTTCTTGCAGCTTCGCTAGAATAGAAGAACATTGTAAAATTTTGAAACAGTTTGACACAACCCCATCTGACTTCAGCGAGTAAGTGGTATTGCCGTTTCTGTAAATCTTCTTTTCCAGAGTCGACCACGCTTTGCGTCTGTTGGAGCACAGTTTCATGAACTTTATAAATGAATCCTAGAAACCGTTTTAACGAGTATTTACTTCATTGGTCTCCGCCGGATCTCTGCTGGTCACAGTTTTAAACTTGTTAATATCTCTCTTATGAGAGCCAGCTGTGCGTATTTATAAGTATTCACTTTAATCATAACATCAATAAACTAAGTTTTATCATTTGAATTTATTATGATTAAACAAAAATTCCGTTTATTTGTGACTGTAGTGAAAGAAAAGACTTTTATTTGAGCTTGGAACTTTCAATGTTTCTATAATTATCGAGCGTTGACTAGAATCTGTCAAATATGAGCTTTATTATTGCTGATGACATCAGTGAAAACCTTGATCGACACTGTTGTTTGGAAATGTTGGTTATGTTTTATTGGATTTATTAGAAAATTGCCAGTTCAGATGATTCCGTTAGTGAACATCAAAATTATAATATTTCAATGAGAATCGGTTTTAGAGAAACCGTTCTTTTCAAATTGGCTTAATATTCAAACAACTGAAATACAATTTTTTTCTACGAGGCTGAGTGAGTGTTATGAAAATGGAAAAGAGTAAGCTACGAGTACGTGGAATGACCACTGATTATCCATTTTTAATATAGTTTGCGGTATTGAAATCTCCGACTCTGTCCTCGAGCCAATACGTCATCATCTTACCTTTACCCTTTAAACAGAACTATTCTATTTGACTAAATTTGTTTTCTAACCTTAACGTCCACATCTCCTCTTGGGGTGAGTGAGAAAACAGCCCAATGATTTGCCAAATGATGATGAGATTCTTCAGATAATTGAATCATGCCTGGTGTCCCGGTAGATTCCATTCGAGATGCTGTGTTCACCTGTATAGACATAATGAGGTCGTTATATTTTGAAAGTCTTACAGTCTCCCCAAAGAGACAATAACGTGGTGCAGTCATTCCTACGACACCTGCCGCTACAGAGCCGGTATGGAAGCCCCAGCGGCAACGAATTCGTTGCGAAGGTCGATGGGGTATTTCATATGTTGTCAAATACTTAAATCGATCATGATATGCTTTATCGTTGTAGGTTGTATACCTGTCGCATATCTAAAGCAACATTCGCAATATGCTTAGAATGGCTATTGCCATTTTCCTCGGGTACACCAGAAACCACCATGTACGCGTCTCCGATTGTTTCAACCTTTATAAGTTGTAGTACAAGACTAGATATTACGTAGGTGACAACGTACTTTGTAGCTTTCATTTTTTGTGATGCATTCATCAAATCCTGTATAGAGGCCATTAAGCATATTTACAACCTGATAAAAAGATTTGGTTTATAGTCTAATTCTCGCTTCGTGCTATGAAAAACCTCAAGAGGTGTAGAAGATGAACAGATAGTTGTGAAACCCACAATGTCAGAAAAGAGAACTGTAGCGGAATGAAAGAGTTTAGGCGGTACACTTCGTCCAAGCTTCAACTCATTCGCAACATATCTTGAAGAGAAATTAAATTTCGCCTAAAAAACGAACGGACTTTGGAAGGAGTTGAGAAAGCAAGCGATCTGCTCGTAAGTTTGCTTCTTCTAACATTCCTGTGCGTTCTTTAACAGTTTTCTCTAAATTGTTAGCATATTGTTCCATCATTCTCATCATTTGATCTACAAGTGATCCTTTCCTGTAAATATTCGTTTCATCAATAGGTAAATATATATAACTTTACGTTTTTAAAACCATCTCCGTATTCAATCGCACACGACGAATATTAGGACGGATTTCTGGATTTTCACTCCAACAGTCTCGCAACAGCGCCTTAAATACTTTTCGAATTTTCATCCGTTTTTTCGTCTACCTGCAAGTCTGGATGACATCCCATTTGATCTTGAATTTCTGGTGTGACTATCTTAGTACCATCCGCGAGGAAATCACACAGTTCTGAAATGGCACCTTTTTAAGATCTAGTCAGTTTTAGAACCTGTAGTATCTGTCCCTTGTTTGAAAGGTAAAGAACGAAATAGAATTTCATACATAATCATTCCGAAACTGTAAATATCACCAGCTTGTCTCCGTAGCTAAACTGATGTGTATCAAGAAGATATGGTGAGTATAAACACCTGAGTCTGCTTGAGCCACGACTGATCCATTCTCCGTTTTCGGTTAGAATTCCGTGTTTTCAGCATTTCTGGGGCACAGTAAAGAACACCTAAAAGAAAAAGTAAATTTCTGATAAGTAGAGCTAACTTGTTTTTTGGGTAGCTTGGCTTTTGTCGTCGTCGTCAACTGGTGCATCAATAGTAATAGCACCTTGCTGTTCCCAGCGTTCCAACGGATTTGCTGAAAATAGTAAACAGATAGAAATTGGTTGATTAACTTTGAAAAATAAACCTATTCCAAAATCGGACAACTTCACCATCCAATTTTTGTCGATTAGGCAAGCCCATGGTGTAAGAGATCCGTGATATCCAATATTGCTAGCATGTAAATATTCCAAGCCCTGTATTATATATTACAACACAATGATAACTAAAAATACCAAAGTAATATCGCGAACAAATGCCGCATGGAATTTCTCATCCAAAATAACGTTTTGATTATAAATAATATCCTGTAATTTCATCGGTGCATGTGTGAATCAATACAATCATGTTCTAACCTGGACTGTTCCTCTGCTACAAAACTTCCATAAAATTAGCATTTCTTCTTTTTCGTTGAATGCCATTCCAAGGAAGGGATTGATATTATCATGAACACATTGTTTCATCTGAATAAAGACTCATAAGACACACTCACAGATCATCATAAAAAAGACCTGTGTGAGAAGCTGCAGATCTTCCCGACCAAACTTAATTGGTCTTCTTTGGGGATATCTGAAAGGATTATTAAACAGACTTATAGTAGAGCTTTTACCGATGATAAGTTGAATGTGTATTTATTCCGATGATGACATGTCTTTTTTGCCTTGTACTCGTATTACTTATTTTTGTATTGGCAGATCCCAGAGACATCTGAAAAGAAATTCGAAAGGTTGACAGGCTTCAAGAAAATAGCTTGACCATTGACTTTACTTGTTCCTCATCTATGAACTGTAAATCGTCATGGAAAATTCTCCACGGCATTTTGTCCAGAGCTTTTTGCTCACTGTAACACTTATCTTAGCTTGTAAAAAAAACACGAATCGTACAAAAGGCGATAAAGGATGTGAAGCCCAATAGCAAGTATAACTACAACGACTATGATTGCTCCTATGGCGATTTCTAAGAAATAAGAACATTTTTGTCCTCTGTATCCGCAAATAGGCTCGTCTAAGGGTAAAGCTCCATTATCAGAAATCCAAAAATCTCTGATAACGTCGGATATGTTCTATAAGAATAGAATGAAATGAAGGAAAATCATCAAGCATTGATCACCAAAATGAAGCAGCCGGAACGATTCTTCAAGCCATCACAATTATTAGCCAGCTCACTATTCATAGTGACCATCTTCATTACTTCATCTCTATAATTATCTCGGCTGAGTAATTTGGAAGTTTATTCAAACCGTTTGGGCGAAATGTAGAATGCTGCGAAAATCGGAGCACGATCAACAATATCATCCATCAAAACTGTTCCAACAGCAGCTTTTTTCGTATCTCCGTCTTTCTGAGATTCTTCTCTTGTCACCACACCTGTATTAGAATGAATGAAGATAGTAAATTCCTCTACTTCACCTTCGAAAGACATCCTTCTCATTTTATTCCATATGAACTGTCCATTAGTAACAAAGGCTTCGTTTCCGGAATCCTCCAGAGTTTTCTTTACAGCCATAGCATAAAGCTTTAAGGAATCGTAAAGATGAATATATCCATATATGTTAGACTGAAGAAATATAGAGTTGTTTGTGAGATATTTAGCTTACTAAATCCAATTCATTTTTTGTTACGCCATACTTTTCTAACTTCGACACAAACGCACTGACAATGTAATCATCGAAACCATTTACGTCATCAACCTGAAAACACTCATGAATATTTAAAATAGCCAACAAGAGATCAGGAAGTACAACCGCTTTCCCGAAACTAGAATTTTAAAATAATTTGAGTGTTCATGAAATACTCATCACGTGTTATTCCACGTGAGAATCATAAGCTAATCCAAAACGTGAGAGCTACAGATTAAAAACAGAACAGTTCAATATTGAATATGTCAAAAGCTCACAATGATGGCATTCGCATAGTCATTTTTCACTTGTTGAATAATTTCACCATTGCTACCAATCCACGGAGATGTGTCCTACAAATAGTAAATGTGAGCTGACCATAGCCATTTTCAGGAATCACCTTGGCTCCAGCTTGCATCCATGGGAAAATATAGGCAAATTCGGCATTGTTTATTTCCAATATGTTTGTTGCTTTCATTAACTCTCTCGATAGCTCCATTGTGTTGGAGAACACAGATAACACAACTGAGGATGATTACAAACATTAGGAAAAACTGTGATTCAATAGTGAAAACCACAGAATCTCGGATTATTCGAAGATTTCGAGATGAATCCGATTAGAAAACTCTGTCGGATTGTCATGATGTAAGATTTTGGATATCGTTTGAAAGCTATCCAAAAACACAAGATATTTGTGAAAGATTATCTTTTAACTATATATCTTGCGAACTATCAACAATAAATATAAATAACTGAACTTACTTCGAGCACTTCCTGCTACATCCTGTAGTAATCCAGTACTGATCATATCAGCTGATTTTGCGTTTTCGTCAAATATAACCTGACAATACGTTTGAACAATGAACTAACACAAGAAACTGTCTAAACTAACTTTTTTCAAGACACTTATTCCAACTCGATGAAGAATTTCTTCGAAGACCTGTACCCGTTCGAGAGCTTCAGTTCCCGTATTAGTGATGAGAGCAATCTGAGAATAGCATTGTTAAAACAGTTTTCATAGCTTAGAATTGAGAGTTAAAATACCACCTTATTCCATCTATAATGCTGGAGTAAGGAGACAGTTGCTTCGGCAATGGCATTGACATTTTTTGAAGAGATCCTTGCAAGAGTTTTGTATATGTTCCGATCACTCAACGAGTTGCTCGTTGACGAGTAGGATATGATGGGTATGTTCCAGAACGTGGACATTTTGACTACTGATTCGAGCTCTAAACTTTCGAATTAATAATCAGTTTTTCTCATACAATCACCAGCGGCACAGTATGGTCCTATGAAAGCTCGTACTTGATGAACATGATAAAGTTCCGCTGCTACTGCTACTCCTTCGTACGACTCTGAACACGTTATCCGTGTGATGATACTGAAACAATTAGCTTGAAAGATATTAGATAAGCTGTCGCTAACTCAAATTCCACGTTTTCAGGAATCAAGCCAGATTCAACGAGTTCCCATTTGCTGGCATTCAATACTTTAGCGTCGTTTGGCATTATTCCTGATAAGAAAATACGTTTAACGAATGACAACGTAAATTCAGCTTAAGCAAAACAAGGTTTTGCTAACCTGCAGCTCCCAAATGTCCAATTCGGATCACTTTTCGATTTTCTTTATTTATCTCCAACTTCAATTTGGAATCAAATTGAGTGTAGGAAGACTTCTCTTCTCGACGAACTCTTGATACAAAAGGGCCCTCAGAACGCTTCCCAATTAACGGAATATAATAATTTTCTTGGGGTGAAAGTAACATATGATAAGCATCATCGAAGGTTTGTTTGAGTGAGCTTGAGTTTGTGTCTACCTCCGGTTCCAAAACTTCAGTTCCAATTTGAACAGATAATGAAACCATAAGTAGAAGCCTAATTATAGTAAGAATTTGAGAAATAGTGGCCATTCTTTCTGAAAATTTCTATATTAAATAGCTGGAAGAATTTGAAGAATAGACTGGCTGTACCGAATGAAGTTGATTACACTACTGCTGGCCAAATAAGGAAATATCACATTCTTCCGATATGCTTTATCTTAAAAATCCGAAAAACCTTCCTAATCACCCAGATTCATTTTCCTAATGGATCCAAAATCTCAAATTTAGATGCAAATACTCTTAATTACGTCAAAAGCATCATAAAACTAATATATGTTTTCAACTGATCTGTCGGTACGACAGCCCTCCAGATTGACAGGAAGCAAAGCATGTGTATCATGAAAACAGTTTGTATTTCCATTCTTATATTGGAATCCTGAGCATGCTATCATTCGTAATAGAGATCTAAGCAATTATGAAAATCGAGCAACTCCAACAATTTATTGTAATTAGTAACATTCTCAACAGAAGATGAGCTTAAAACAAAAATAATTTAAAATTATTTTGTTTTATATAATCATCCAAACACCATTATTTCGTCACCATAACATGGCAAAGAGGTCGCCCAGTACAGTTAAAACATTCCACGCACTGCTCACTCTAATCACCATAGAATAGCTTGTCCTCAGAGTGCAGAAGTTCTAACCAACTCTTGTGCAAGAGAATAGCTTTCAAAAAAGAATCACTATCTCGTCTTGCTGCACTTTAAATCTTATTGGTCATAATTCCTCCGTTCGATTCCGTAAGGACCATTTAATATTAATTTCTTCACAGAAAATACGCAATTCTGCGGCAAATACTAGTTTTAAGTAATCAATAGAACTCTATTCTCGCTCTAAGCAGCACATGATCGATCTTTAATTAACCAAGGTGAGCTTCTGAATCGAACGTGTTGAGTTGTTTATAATATTTCTAAATTATATATTCGAAGCTTACAACTTTACCTCAAAGCAAACCTCCTAACCACAATTATCTTTGACTCCTGTTCCGGTTTCTCGTAGTAGGCACATGTTCGTTCAATGCTATGCAGACATATTACGAAACAATCAAAATTTAAATAATCGGCTTTTGTTTGTTTGAAAATAAACCTGTTCCCAGCCAAACTAGGTCTATTATCAGGCTTTTATTTCGTCCTCTTATCATTGTTCCTTAGCTAACTCAAATGCCTATACTACAAGCAAAACCATTAAATTCCTTTTTCCAGAAGTTCAAGCCTTTTAAAAAATCACGTAAGAGCATTGTCCATTGTCTTCTTTGCGTTTATTGTGCTTTATGTATGAAATTTCTTTTCTTTTCAGATTTACATGATATCGATGCCACAAATGACATGGGGCAATACACTAGTATTTTGAAGAAAAAAGATGATTCTCCAATAAACAGAAAAGAAGCCGAAGTAAGCATTTTGATATTCGTTTCATTGAATTTCTTACCTCTTTGAGGTTGTCAACGTTAAGAGAGGTGGTTGTGATCTAGCAAAGTATGCCAGTCTTTTGAGGGAGAGTGGTATTGTTCCTGAAATGTTTTTAATCAAAGAGTCTCAGAGGTATATTTGCATTTGTGCTTCTTAACTTTCGCAATCTCGCTTCAGTTCAAAATTTGTTGATGAAGATGGTCATGTAGCTAACGAATTTTTAACAGAGAGACTTGTTGGACCTCATAGAAGATTATGTAAAGTTGTTGATAATATTAAACCAAAAGTGAGTATATTATATTGTTTTCTTATAAACTCAGTTACGTACAGGGTAAAGAAAAATATGATATTCCTCGTCTCAGTCCAGACCTACCTGTGGTGATTTGGGAAATAAATTCCTAGAATGATATGATTGAAGCTTCATTGTGATCTCTTTATTTCCGTTAACTGAAGTCAATTTTTGAAAGTTTCTTTATTTTAACTATCATAAAGTATATTTTTGTGTAATACAGAAGCTTCTTAGTACCAGTAAGATAATGATAAGATTTGCATGCAATAGGTAAGCAGATAAATACCCTTAATATTACCCGATTAGGAAATATTGAGAAGAATTTTTAAAAAATATACAAAATCATAAGTAATCTCTTTTCGCTGCGATTATACGAACGTCAGCTTCTGGCTTTGGCATGAGCCGTGTATCAAACACATAACTATCTCTTAATAACTGTTCCACAGCTAGTGCAGCGCCTACAGATGGATCCAGTCTGGAAAAAAAGTTTGTCAGATTCAAGCTCTGCTAGCTTACCTTTGTAAGTTGAGATCAATTTTTGCTGTTCCATCACTACTAACTTCTTTTTCTCGCGCACATCTGCGCTGTTCTATTCGCCTAATAAAAGTATTTATCAAATACTTCGAGTGAGTAAAAACCAACCAAGGGCTAGTCTCATCCGCATAATCGAATGCTTCGTTGTAACAAGAACTTTCATTCCAAGGCGCTGCCAAAACGGATGAGTCACCTCCCCACGAAGATCTTCTGGAGAAAACAGTATGAAGAATGTTATTAATTAGCTGACTTGCCTTCGACGACAGAATAATATGCTAAGAACACATAAAATAAGAAGAAGAATTCCAGCGATTATCAGAAGTATTATAGCTGTTAGATTATACGCTTGTGAAGTCCACTTCCACATCCCATAACAACTGAAAAATAACCAAATATGTGTAACTTTCAAGCTGACAAAAAACAAATATGAAAAAGGCAGTTGAGACCTTTGGGACAGAAGGATATGAAAACAAAAAAAAGAAAAACTATTTACTTCTGTTATTGGAAGACCTGCTTTGACAAACGAAAATATACAAAAATTATAGTACAATTTGTATGAAATTGAATAAAACTATGTACAAATAGAAAAGAAAGTTAACGTCAGAACGTTTATAGCGAGCGATGCTTCGGCGAAGCAAAAGAAGAAGAAAAACCTGTTGGTCAATCATGATTAACTTCGCTGAAAAATCAGAAAACCTATTTGGATTCTTCCAATTTAGTAGCCGCATGACGAGCTCGTAGCTCTTGAAGCTGTCTCATCGTTTCCGTTGTTGTTATCATACTCATCTTCCGTCCTTCAACACTGAGAGTTTTTTGGGGACGACGCTCTAAAGAGGATGGCAAGCTGTAATGGGACTCCAGTCTTAAGAGTGCCAACTCGTTCAAAATTGCTTTATCAGTCACCTTAATTTCTTTCTTTAAAAAACATGTTATCATGAATGACATACGTTCTTGAGCATGTGGTAAAAAGATGCCAGTTTACTGCTTTTCACCCAATTAGGATTTTCCCGTAAAAAGCTGATCGAACTATTGACATCATTGACGAAAGCATCCAGAACTCCATCTTCACACATAGAAAGGGTAATTGGAACTCTAGCAGCACTAGGAGATACTAAAGCGTCCACATGCCATCCCTAAATTCAAGATTATTGAACAACCAAGTAGAGGTGTTCACCTTGCGTGTCATTCGATCAACCAAGGCATGTATATTGACTCCATCGCACGTGAAAGCAACAACACAAACATCAGCACTTCCTTTGACCTCAACGCCTTCGATGGCCAATAACAGTTCACATAAAGTATGAGTTCCTTCTACTACACGAACACATGCATCCATGTACCCACTTCTTCCCTACACGAGATTTTTAAGAATTATATAGTAAACAATATTTACCTTCTTGAGCATAGTAGCCCAGGCAGAAGCAACCGCTCCTCCATCTCGACCGCCAGCCAAAGTTGGTGTGGCGTACAACCCTCCGGCCCAGAATGGATTCGAGAAAAACTGATAACGAATATACGAATTGTTACGGTACATCAGAACCGAACAAGATCGAGGACATTGTCCATACTGAAAAAACCATGGGAAAACTTCTCAGAAACATGTTGAAAAGATCTCACTCTGTGTAAATCAACAGAGATGGAGGTCACCCCTGGTAAGCGGAAATCGATTGTTTTGTTATTTAAATCGCAATATTCCATAAATGGAATAATAAATCCACCCAGAGTAGCATCAACGTGTAAAGGAATTCCAAATGCTTGAGCAATCTAAAATTCCTCGTACTGAACTTTGCTCACTTCCTGGACTCACTTCAGCTAGGTTCTCAATAGGATCTATTGTTCCAGTGATATGATTCGGGGCTGAAGCAACTATCTGAAGCAACTCGTTGCAAATGTTGTTCAATCAGAAGGAAGCGTACCATACAAGTATTTCGATTGATATACTTCTTCAAACATTCTGCATCTACTTTATCGCTCTCCAAAACAGGCACCCTATGAACTTTCATCCCAAACAGCGAAACGGCTTTCTCAAGGGAAGCGTGTGCAGTAATAGGAGCGACAATCTCGGGCCTATCAATCCCCAACGAGTATGCTCGGTTTCGATAGGCTATAAAAACTAATTGATTCAATCCGGAAAAAGAAAGGACCTAGGCAGGCTAAAAGAGTTGATTCCGTTCCTCCTCCTGCTACAACACCACATGATTCAGTTCCTCCGTGAAACATCGAGCAACACATTCGAAGAATCTAAACAAGCAATCAAAACATATATCGAAAATGAAAAAACGCACCTCTGACTCCATTTTCCTATTACCTGGAAATGCATCTGAACGATGAGGATCGGAGTGAGAGAATAACTCGTACACCTGGAAGAGAAATTTTAGAGTCATGTTTCATTTTTAAGGTCGGAAGTACCTGAGAAGATAACTTCAAATCTTCATTTTTGGTTTTTGGATCATAATGTTCCATATATCTTCTCTCTCCCATAGAAGCATATTGTCTCGCTTCAGTTATGATGTCTTCGCTATTCAAAGGACGTTCCGGTAGGAATTTGTAGAAATCTCTAATCTTCAAAATGTATGATTAATACTCTCAGTATGGATTTCGACTACCTTATCCCACTGATGGATTTCTTCTTCTACTTCTTCGCGCAATTTTGAAAGGTCTGATTGATGTCTTCTCTTCACCCATGGAAGACTGCGTAACATAAAATAAGATAATCTCCTGAGAAAGTTTGATATAAAGAGAACGAAAGAAAGAGAAAACCTAAAACGTTGCAAAAAGTTATCATCCGATGCCGAGACTTTAAATATCCAGGAAATGAACAACGAAAAGGAAATGCTGTAGAGCACAAGCTGCAAAACGGATGAAGCGAAATGAAATTGATCAACGCAAACCTGCCAAGATTCCAAGGTAGAGCATTTTCGATTGAAATTTGCTCTTAGACAATCTAATCCATCCACAATGAAATCTAATATGATGGTGTAAGTTTCAGAGGGAATCATCTAAATTGTAATGTTTTCGAAAATAACTGATGTGAATAGATAAGAAATCGGAAAATGTACCCAGATTAATTGGCCGGTTATGTGGTCACAACTTCATTACGATAACAATTAAAAAACAGTACATAATACCCATATTTGGAGATGGAAACAATATATTCAAGAGCTTCGACTTCTCATTTGTCGGAAAATATTCAAATATTGCCACATGGTCTCTAAGGCGGTGTATGGTTCTGGACTTTTACGGTTTAATACATCGGGTTTCTTAGCCTCGTCAGCCTGAAAGAGGTTTATAAAGCAAGCAGAGAAAAAAAACAGTACATAAAGAGGAAAATAATTCGTCATAAACTCGGATAGCATATTGATAGCTTGAGTAGCAACCTGTGAAGGTTCATATTCGACCTGAATAAAAGATTTACAGAAAAAGAAATTCGACAGAATTACTTCAACGATGGCTCCTTTAACTGCCGTGACTTGGGAAGCTGTTCCTACACGAATTACAAAGTCACACAACCTGTATTGATAGCCGGTCAGCTGAAAACGTGAGATGCAGCAAATCAATCAAGATTGTAACATACCGTGAATTTACCTGCATGGTCTGGCTGAAGACCTGCAGACATTTTTGTTAGGATAAGGTCAAAGCCTCTATCGCATGTTGCTCTAGGACTCGACTTCAGGGAATCGGAAGGAGCTAAATTCTTGAAATTTTTTATCAGAAAAGGAAAGTTTTCACGAACCAATTGAAAAGGACGTCTGGGGAAAATTGGAGTGATGCAGCACATAATTAGTTTGAATGCCGACCCCGACCTAAAAAGATAGGTGAAATGAGAGATAGCAAATTAGAAAGTTACAGCTCCAGTAGGAGAATAAGGTAAAAAGTCAACAGAGTAAGTTCCGATCGGTTCCGCACCACCTCCTTCCAGTAATCGTTCAATTTCTCGAGCTGAACCGGTATGTTCGAAAACCCACGCCACTCCCATCCCAGGAAAGTAGACGAAAAAAAAGACAATAATTCACGAAAATAGCAAAATAATAAATAAAAAGGAGAGAAAATCCTCGAAAGAGTTAGCACAACGACACATCAATATTTACAGACATGAAAATACAAGAAGTGAGAAGTTAGTTGAATTCTTCTTTATATCTTCTCATTTGAGCAAGGTAAACAGGTACGATATCAGGATGGATTACGGTCAAACGCTCACAAGTAGCCGGTGATGAACTACAATTGAATAGGAATAGCCCCACATCTCCTTCTACAGGATTGCATCGAGAAGTAAAGTTAAGAATTTCATAAGTTCCTGCATAAAACTATTCAATCTCTCCTATTTTAGCTTCCACAATACCCGAGTTGTCCCGAATCGTAAGAGGCTCCAAATTTGTAATCGCTGCACAAACAATGGTTGTTCCACTTGATCTAAGCTTGAAGGATGCAATATCGTCGCGAGCTACTCCAGGCATGAACTTCGCTTAATTAATTCACACAACCTTTCTCATTGGAACGCGAAATGTAGCCACGTCGCATTGCGTACAAGATTCATGCCCACTTCATTATGTTTTGATCTTCATTTTAAAACATATTCAAACAATTTTTAACAAGGAAATATACCCATGAAGTGATGACTAATTGTCCAAAAAAGACACTTACATACAATTATTGAAAAATGTTAACAAAGATAATGTAACTTCGAGCAAAAAAAATCAAACGAACATAGGAAAAACATGACCGATCTTCTGAACAGAAACAGGATTATTCATACCCATTATAACGAAAATATTTAATTACAACTATTGAGATTATTTTCACGCTTCCGTTGTTAAATATCAGAAATCATTTCAAGCAACAAACGAATAGCAGGTTTCTCTTCTAGTAATGCTGGCGCAAGGGATTTCATAGCTCTTACCACCATGTCAGAAGGAGATGCTGCAGTTTGAGTTCCAATAGAAAATTGATCTACCTTGTGCAGACATGGATAAAAACCACGAACTGTCCATGCAACAATTCTAAAGCCTTCTTCGTGAACAACAGCAAAATACGACGCTAGGTCGCCTAGGCAACAGGGATATTAATGTGAAGTTTGTAATTATGAGATTACCTTCTCTCAAAATTTCATCAAGTCCTATAGCATTCATTCCACCATCACCTCCACACCACGTCAAAATGGATGCTCTGATTAAGAAGGATTATTGTTGAAACTGAAATTATAGAACTCACAAGATCAGCCCGTGGGTTTCTGTAGCAATCACAGCAGCATCAGGACGTACTTCTATAATATGTCCATGGCCTAAACAGTAGAATAAGAGTTGTCCTTCAAGTGCATGTACCTCGGAAAACCGTTTCACTGTGTCTTACATACTTCGTAGCTGATATTGCAATCCATTTACAATCATTATACCTATGTTGTGGTCTAATCACCAAGTCTAATTCATCTCCTGGAAAAGTGATTAGGGACTGTGAGGAAGAGTTTCACAAACCCGGTTCGAGATAACTGTTTAGTCGCGTAACTTCTACAGAATCGAAAGCGGCTCCTGGAACAAAAATTTGCTCTCCCAAGAAGCTGCAGTATACATACGTTTCGGTGATTCGAGTGATTTTCGCGATGCATTTCTGAAAATGTGTGTTTATTATTCAAAAAACAAGTGAAGCGAACTTGAACATCAACTGGACCATCAGAGCATGATGAGCCGTAATTTTCTCTCTTGTCGTTGATGATTCGCATCTGGAACGATTGCAATGGTATTGATATGATTCATAGAATTCACCTTTGTAGCTCTCCACTTGCATCCATTTTTATCCTTTTGCAGAACTGCTGTTACATGAACGTGATCTCCATTCGCGTATCTTGAGGTCATATCCGGCACATCCTCACTTGTAGGAATCGAAGCAGCCAAAGGACAGAAAACAGTCCCCCTTTCGGTATTCACAAAGGCAAATTTGGTTGTTACCCTACTGATCCTTCCTTTTAATGATATCTTCTCACTTTCCGTCATTTTGTTTCTAAAACATTGGGGAATTGCACAATGTACTAGAATACAGGAGAAAATCGGTTATGAATACGAGAATAAAAACAATGAGAATGCAATGTGAGTAATGGAATTAGATGAGTATGAGTTTCAGCTTTCATTCGAAAATTATCAGAATTAAAGAGAAGGTAGCCTTATAGCCTGCCATCTGTGTCTCGTACGTAAGGCTTGTAACAATTATGAAATTTCGGCCACAGGCATAACACAGAGAAATACTTCTTGCTTTATCTATTACTGATTTTGTCGTGAACAACAGCAAATCGATTACAATTGTTCTTGTTTTTGCTTCGTTGAAAAAGCTGTTTTCTTTTTTATCCTGTCTTGCATACTCATCTACGTTTGCCTGAAGTTTCAGCGGAATCAATACCATCAACTGACCCGTTGAAATACATTAAAACTGCAGAGATGGGTTTGATAAACAATATCAAACTAATTGAGAGAATATCTCTCATCTCAATACGCAGAACATCATTATTAAATTATTCTTCTGCAGCTTCATCGACAGCTGATAAAAAAGATAAGCTCCAGGTAACACGACCATGCGTGCTAAAAAAAGACTTGTTTAGGAAATAGATCCACTGAAAGAATATACTCCATTTGGAGGAATACGGAAAAAAACTGATATATGGCATTATACTGATAGGTATTAGTAGTGGAACACGAAAGCTTATTCGCAACGTTATCTTAGAAAAGTGGCTCCTGGCTACTCGAATTATTCTTCTAATATCTATCAGCATCGACCATATATATGGCCACCACTCAGAAAACTCTATAAGTTCAACTATTATATTGTAGGAGCTATATTTTTCTTCCTTTGTTGGGATTACGAATGGTAGCAGTTACAATCGGTGGAACAGTTTTAACATTTCGAGATTTAGGCTCAGTCAACAGTTCGCAAAAGCAACAAATTCTTTCAAACCTTCAGCCTCACAATTGAATACATCTGAGGAATCAAAAAAAGAAGAAGAAAATGTTGTTAGATTTGAGTAGTATAAAGAATTATTATGACTGTTTTGTAGGATAGCAAACCTGAGAAACCGATTACTAAGAAAGTAGGCTTCCGTGAACGCCGAGTTGTTGAATATGAAGACAGACTGCGAATGTACTCTACTCCGGATAAAATCTTCCGCTATTTCGCTACATTGAAGGTCTGAATCAAAGTTGCCTTAATACTCTCGATTAAGAACCACAAATTCTTCTTATATTCAGTTTTGAATTCATAGCAACACCTCGAATGCTTAAGACATTATAAATCAGTTAATACCGAGAATTACAGGTCAATGATAAAAATGATGACAGTGGTCGAACGTATGAAGTTTTCATGCTTCCTGAAGACTTTCTGCGTTCATTAACTCCTGGAGTAATGCAACCAAGGCGACTAGGCTTGGACAGTTATAGAGTCTATCAACCTGAGGTCTGACCTTCTACCTACACTAAGCTATTTCTTAAATCATAGAAACATCACCATAACTTTTCTGATGAATCAAGTATTTTTTACAAGTTGGGAGAAAATGGATTAATCAGTTTTAGCGATTACTTATTCTTGATGACTTTACTATGCAGTGAGTTCATTAAATATTACTCTCCTGTTTTAATTAGTACTTAGCTTCTCCCAATGATTTCGCTCTTGCATTCAAAATTTTTGATGTGAACGGAGATGGCGAGTTGGATAAAGCAGAGTTCGAAAGAGTGAAGGTTTGAAAAGTAATAGATCTCAAAATGTTCAGTTCTTTCATAGATGCTCATTATGTCTCAGACAACTGTTGGTCAAAGACACCGCGATCATGTAACTCCTAATTTCTCGTACAGAGCAGAAGCTAATTCCGGCCTTGAAGCGTACTTCTTTGGTAAGGACGGAAACAGGAAGCTATCAGCTGAGAAGTTCCTGGAATTTCAAGTGCGAATCTTTACTCGTTCTCTTGTACTGTGAATTTTAAGAGAGCTTTACACGAGGACATTCTGAAAATGGAGTTTGCAAGAAGACATGAGCTAGATGGTGAAAATGGCTTAATTTCAGAGGAAAGCTTTGCTCAACATTTGCTTCTTCATGCGCAGGTAAACCATGACTTGAGTTCTGTTGAACAAGTTCTCTCAAGATTCCGGAGAAAAGGCAGAAGCTTATGTTGAAGAGGATTCGACGTAAGTTCAAAGAAGGTCCTGGTGTGTCCTACGAAGAAGTGAGTAGTTTAGTGTCATTTTGAAATATATAAAGTGTTCTAGGTTTCAAGCTTCTTCAAGTTCTTGTACCATATCGATGATGTCGACATGGCGCTTCACTTTCACCGCATGGCCGGATTGGCTGTCGAGGGAACAATGTTCAAAAGGTTATTGAAGATGAATACGTGTTAGAGTTTTTGAGTTTAGAGTTGCGAGTATGGTAGCACATGTGGAATTGAGCGATCATATTGTAGATGTTGTAATTACTCTTTTCGATGATAATCAGGTTTTCTTGGTTTACGATATCTTTGGATATTTTGGAATTCAGGATGGGAAACTCTCAAATGACGAAATGATAGCAGTCATGAGAAGGCGTTTGAGAAGAGGCTTAGAGAGACCGAAAGATACTGGATTGTTTCGCCTTTTCGACGGGTTGCAAAATTGCACGAAAAGAGCTCTTCAAGCTAGCTCTTTTCCATTTTCATAGAAAGAACGAGCTTTTATTGTACATATAATATAGATCTCTAATATGATCAACTAATATGGCTGTATAAAATGAACATTTAAAATTTCGCTTAATTGGTTGGTATGTATGTTGCAGGACACATCATTTTGAGTTCTGTGAACTCATTTCTTCTTTAGACGGAGCTGTAGTCCGTTTATTTAAAATATCTACTGAAAATTTCTAAAGAATAAACAATTTATTTCGTTGAATACATTTGGTTGACACATTAAATAACTAGATAGCTTTATATAGTCATCCTTACATAGGAATCTGGTATGACTTTTAGATGAAGAACACTGGAAGTATGAGATCAAATACACGTATGGTTGAGCTTGATTGCCGTAGAATTTCGAAAAGATGGTAAATTAAGCTGGTCTATACGATTGATATCTCATCAATAAAATATCTAGAGAACTAGAACACATTTCCATTCGAATAATGGATTTGATAAGACATTGGCAGACGAAAGAATGAGTTGAAAGATAATATAAAGCTTCCAAAAGAACAATAAATTAATTGAAATATACAGAAGATAAGGTATGAGAGCAAGGCATTGAAATCAATATTGTTCAGATCTTTTTTTTCTTTTTCTAAATTACACATAATGAGTTCGATTAGGAAGCGGTGGCATAGGGGGAGGCATAGATGTTTCATGCCATGAATCCCTCCTGTCTGACTCTTTTATGGAACCCATTAAATAATCTTCATTCTAGAAAATCTATGATAATAAACTCAACATAGTAGTACTTACACTCTCCCATTCTCTTTCTGAGCCTTCAATTACTTTGTCATCTGCAACCGGTTTTCCACTTCGTCTCAAGAATATTAACCATAGAGCTTCGGTCACCTTCAATTGAATATTACTTTTAATGAAGAACAGTATTGTGAGAATAAGAAAAACAAAAACTTGGCTGAATACGGAGCAATTCAATTACCAAACTCATTTGAGCGTTTGTAAATTAACGAGGAAAATATTGTAATATAGTTTGAACTTACTCGAGCGCATGTTAAGTTTCCTGCATGAGCTGCAATCATTTGAAGAAGAAACACTCCATCAGGACGTAAGAATCTGAAGAAGTGAAAACAAGTATAAAATAAATTAAAGATGAATTGAGAGCAACCGATCTGATCGCAAGTAAAATGAAAAATGAGATACGCTTATGCTGTGTTGTGTTCGCATATATGCTAAGTTAGAAATATGAATCGTACCTATCAGTAAATCTCTCAATTTGATCTGTTTCCATGTCCAGATGTTTTGCGACGAAGTTCTGGCGACATTGTCCCGAAACGAGAGCACACAGCCAAAATAGTAAATTGAGAGCCGTAATAGTTGCTAAGACCTTGAAATAGGAAAAAAGGAGATGCAAGAAAAACAGCATATAAATCATACAGTTAGCCATAGCCAAAGGAAAATGAATATCTTTTCCGTCAGCATATTGATGACCAAAACACACTGTACAGTATGCCTATGGACGTTTCCAAGAACGCGAATTTCAAAATCACAAAGGGTAACTCTTGGAAATTTGCCGGAATCCCTCCATTCCCTTCCCTGGAAAGAAACATATTCAGAATAGAGCTCATTATTCGAGATAATTACCATAAACAAATCATAGAGTACATGAGCTCCGAATAAAGGATATTCAGAAGTTTCAAGAAAAGCATTCAACATCATGAATTGAATTAAAACATTACACAAATGAAGAGTTTTGATAAAAACATAAACAGTCGAAACATATGATCCGTAAAATTTACCTGAAAAGAGCTTTTCGAATTACAAAATACTTTTACAACAAACCTAATCGAACAAATGCAAACAAGTACACATTCTTCCTTTTAGCTCCATGATCACGTTGGTACATGAGAGCATCGTCTATATGTCTGAAGAACGATTTGAGTTCATCACATTTCTAAAAGCCTACCTTGCAAGGACATCGACAGTTTTTGCTCTGACGATAGGATCCACATTCTGTTCTTGACAGGCCAACTGTAAGACTAAACCAGCGTTCAAGCCTAAACATCAACATCGTATCATGGATAGTTGTTTTCAATATAATGTTCCATGCTCTACTGCTGTCTTTAATGAAGCCAATTATAAAATTGGAGAAAAAGAACTCAGAATAAGTAACGAGTGACTTTCAGAGTAATGACATTCAAAAGATTTTATCCCGCAAAAGTTGTTCGAAGGTTTATTTACTTATTAATAATAAAGCCGTCGAATATCTTATAACAAAATGACAAGCTTGTCCATCTTGTCGTTCATCTCGTGTAATCAGCAGTTGAACGAAAATTAGTCAGCTGCTTAGCCAATTCTTGAGAATTTAAGTCTTCAAATTATATTTTCTTTCATTTATCTTCATCAATGAGCATGTTATATTTATGTGATTTCTAATGAAAACTTTGCACAAAAAATATCTGAGAAATCATTGGTATGTTGCAGAGAAAGACAAACCTGATTGACTGGCGAGCATTCTCCAAACCGATGAAGGTATGTGAAACATTAAAGCTGCAATTGCTAAAACAAATGGAACCCATTGATAGTATCCAATCTGTCGTCGCTCTCGATCATCCAATCGATGTGGAATGAGATCCTAGATGGAAAGGTAAAAGCTCTATCATATCATTCAAATCTCATTTATTTGGTTTTTTCTCAAAATATTTCATCTCCTTCTGTTTTTTGTATTCAAAAATAAATATTTTGTTATTAATAGAGTTTCGTATCAAATTCATCGAACGATATTTGAGTCGAACGAAAGAGCCAGGATAAGAAAAAAAGTTTTTTTCCTTCTTTTTTTTGAATGAAAAAAAATGAAAACAAAACATAACAGGACATGTAATGAGAAACTAGCTGAGCATTTACCAAAATTGCTCAACAGTTACAAATAGTTGTTTTATATTTTTCTTTAAATTATAATAGAAAATGTGTGTTCACACCTGAAAAGGGACCCAGTATGTGTTCTGAACCCAACAGTAGTTTTCTGTGTATTGTTCCATAGCTCGCGTAAATTGAGCTGGCACGAAGCATTCTATGGGATGTCCGACTGAAATATTTTAAAAAAATAAAGAAAATATATATATTGAAATGTTTTTCATTATATTTTAAAGTCTTCTATTGTATTTTCAAATTGTTAATGATATATAGATAATGGATGATTACACACAACATTAGTTTCTCTTCTTCTTCTTCTTCTTCATCTCCTTCTTTTCCATTCAAACAAAATTGAAGTTTATTTCAATGGAAATACAATTTCATTTAAAGTGAAGCTTAATCCACTTCATTAATATTGTTACGAACATCGGAAATAGGAAAGAAATCATTAGTGAAGATGTTTAGAAGGCTCTACTCGTTTACATAGTTGTCAACAGTTTGCTCCTGAAGTTCCTGAATTTACAAGTAACTTCACCTATTTCCGATTAGCTCTCCATCTTCCTATCTACTTTGGGCGGTTGCTCTTTCTACCCTTTTCTCTCTTCCTCTCTCTTCTGACAGAATATACTCTACCTCCTGTTGTATAATCGAAAAGAAAGAAATCTGCCAGCCAATGAACTCAAAAGATCTGCATATTACACCGTTTATTCATATTTTCAAACTATCCTCTTCATCCCCCACCTTGACAACTTCTCAATTCTCTCTCTCTCTCTTTTTATATTTTAGTGAACTGGCCGAAAAACCATTAGAAAGAAAAAATTGGAAGAAAGAGAAGGAACCGTTAAGAATGAAGTGCAAGCATGTCAAATCAAATGATCATGCATTTTTGAACGTCTTTCCCCCTATTGGCAAACTGGCCAAATGAAATAAATGATCTCGAAACTCTCTTATTGACGACTTTTCAATAGATCGTTAGAATATCATATAGCTGCCATATGAAGGATATTGTAGCCTCAGCTTAACAATGGAACAGGCCATTTTCCATCCTTAATTTTGGTTTTTTTCATATTGCCAAGGTCAATGTAACCACACTGTCATTGTTTTTTGTTTTCTTTTTCAGTCCATCCACCAACTTTCAGGCAACTCATAATAACTCAGAGAAAAAATATATATAATTTTCGTATATTCACTCTTCGCTTAAATGATACATTCTGCTAAAGAGCGAGAGAAAGATGCCTCTCTCTCTTCTATTATTGACTTTTGAAATTTAGTAAACTATTCAATGAGATTATACATATAGTTCTCGAAAGATGATTTTCTGAGGTCATTCGCGCTTTCTTCTTCCGACGAGAAAAAAAAAAGACAACAAAGAAACTCGGATGGTCTCTTTAAAATTTATGGTAGAACTCGGTGTTATGGGAGGAAAAGCTTAGAAAAATGAGGTGGTAGGAAAACATATGAACTTTCCTGAAGTTGTCTCAATTTGAAAAGAGAGAGAAAATGAGGGAAAGAGAGAGAGAGATGGAGAGAGAGAGAGAAACGTCTGTTGAATACTTGTTGATGTTCTGATTTTTGCTCAACTTTTAAAAGGAAATGCATAGCATATTCTTTCCAACATGAGATGCAACAGTAATGCCTCAAGGCTACTAAGCTTTCTCATCTATCTGAGCGCGTCAGAGTTAGCAGCAGTTGAAAAGAGATTTAAGAAAACGTGTAAAAGGAAATTGTTTGAAGAGAAGAAAAAAAAAGTAATTTCAGCAGGGTGTTGTTATATATCGTGAAAGTATCAAGTAATTCAAGCAATTTTCCACTTCGAGACCACATCCGTATCCTGTCACGGATGAAAGTAAAAGAGATATTAGGAAAAGCTTAAATAAAGGAGAAGAAAAGCGTTTTTTTTCATTCTCTCTCTCTGTAATTTCATATGAAAATAGAAACGAAGAAATATTTTTGGTCAAACGAAAAGCAGAAGTAATATTGGAAGGACACAAAACATGATGGCATATTTGACCATAAAAGTATAAAAATGGCTGTTTCAGCTTTAATGGTAGGTTGTTGATTTTGAGAATGAAAAAAGCAAATTGTTTGTCCTTTCTGTTGCACACAATTGATTTGGGTTGAAAAATTAATTTTTTGTCTCATAGAATGTATTATAAGTTGAATGGTGACATCATCATTTTCCATAATGAAGAAGCAAGTCATCTCATTTGACTAACATATCATATGAGATTATAAATGATTCATTAAGAATATTCATAAGGAAATCTTCTATTACACTCACACACACACATACACACTTACATATATTCTTCACACTAATTATATGATATAAATTAATAAGAAAAATTATAATAAAAAATCATTTGCATATCATATATGAATAGGATGGTTGAATGAAGCTTATTGCTGAGCTTAATCTCTCATCATCAAACACATACACACATTCAACATGTGTGAAAGTATTTCATTGCTTAACAGCTTTTCCATCTAATTAGGTTTGTTTTTGAAAAGTGAAAAAACGACTTGGATATGAAGTCAATTGCATATTTGCTTGTTTCCAATTCCTCTTCTCCAATTTCTTACAATCGTACAAACGCTTCTTCGATTTCGAACTTGCTCAACAACTTCATTCCGTTCCTTTTTTGTAGAAAAAAAAGGAGAAAGAGAGGGAAAAAAAGATAGAGAGAGAGAAGGAGAGATAGAGAGAGAAAGAGAGAGAGGGAGAGGGGGAAATTATTTTTTTTCCAATTTGTTTCAAGCAATACAATAAATGGAAAAATTCCCCTGAAGGAATTTGGAAGATTCATAAGAAATAATTGAATTTCATAATTAATTGAAAATGACAAATACAAGTTGCTTGCTCTTTCATTTAGTTTTTGCTGGAACTCATCTGAAGAAATCAGAAATAGGAGATAGATAGTTGAAGAAGCTGGCGAAGTTGAGACATTCGTGTTTAAGAATGAAAATCCTTTACGTTAAGAGCAGATGAACCTAATTTATCTATATATGGATAGCCGAAGATGTCTTTCAATATTAAAATAAACTAATTAGTCTTCAGGATGATGAAGAATAGAAAGAACTTTTATCTCAATTACTATATGTCTCGTTGAGTTAGGTATATATGGAATTAACTGATGACGAACGTTTCTTTACATTATCAATAGCTTCCACTCCATTTTTTTGTGAAGCTTACTCAACAAAAAAGCATCTACAAACCATTTTACATCTCAACTCATTGCCGAAGAGAGATTCACGAAATTGGAGGAAAGTCGTTCAAAATGAATTTTACTATGGAGACGTAGGTACTTCTGGATAATGGTGAACATGGACAACATTATCCTCGGCGCTCATCTCAATTCCTTCAAGACAATCTACCTCCGAACATTCGTCTCTTACTTTCTTTCTCGCGCTGATCTTCCTTCCAGCTCCTCACATATATTTGAGAGCAATTTTAAAACAGTTGAAGGAAGAGGGGAGAAAAGGGCGAAACAAGATATGAAAATGTCTTCTGATGAGGTAACGTTAAGAGAAAATTAGTCGTTTTTACTTCTCATATTATATATGTTGAAGCTCAAGCATTCGTCCTCTCTTCTCAACTGATATATTCATTACAACATCAACAGCTGGTCATGTTAACAGACTGCACGTACAAGTGCTCATAGATAGTGGACGAGATAGGGAAAGAAAATAAAAGATTTTATGGAAAAACACTTTTTTTTCTCATTCACGTCATGAACGAATAACTTGCCATTCATGAATATTCAGTCATTATTCAAAAACTATGTCTTTACTATATCGTATAAGAATTTACCGTATTGCTTCGCCGATACTAGAACAGCAAACATTAAGACCAATGTAGAGGTGTAGAGATAATGAAGACGGTCAACGAAGTCATCGTCCACTCTGAAATTTTGGAAAATAGTCTCAAAACTCTCAAATCTCAGCTTTTCATGCTTAATTGATGATATATACCTAGGTTCCAAAAAACGGAGGGCTGAAGCTAAGAAATGCATTCCTATACGATAGCCTCCTACCATCGTCTTCCAAGACTCCTGAAGACTTCGAGTTCTTTTGCTTTCTTCCTAGTTTTATTCTAGTTGAAAAGCAAAACTGTTAATGTCTAGATGGGAGTTCAAACTAAGGGAACACAAACTGAGTGAGGTGCTGACTGAAGATAGGGAAAGGGTGAAGCCTTCTGGTTGAGGACGGCCCAAGACCTGAGCCCTGGAGGAGGAGGGGAAGAGGAGGAGAGCTGGCGAGAGATTCTCTCTTCGGAGAGCGCAGAGAAACGATACAAAACTGCCAGACGGCAAAGATACCAGAGAATCAACACCGTCAGAGACGCAGTGAGGGCGGGGCTTTTTTTGTGTATGTGTGGCGATAGGACGGACGAGCTTGATTTGCTTTGCTTTCCTTGTGTTCCTGTCTGTTGTGGAAGATACTTAACTCTATTCCACATAATTTTATTAGAAGTTAAGCCCAGTTTCTTTTCTATTCTGCGAAAATTATTGGAAACCAACGTTTCGTGTGCGAAAAAGTGGCATTTGTGACCGGCCCGGTACTGGTGTTTAAACGTGTCAACTAACTTGACGCTCCGAAAAAACACGAGAGCAAGAAAAAAATTGTGGCTTCAAGAGCCCGAAAGGCTGCACGCAAGCTGTATTTTCAAACCTCAAAGGAAGTAAAACGTTGATTCGGAAACAGTGGTAACGATGCAGAACGGTGAAAGCGCGATGACATCCCACAAGGTGTCAACTACCGAGAGTTTACCACCTCAGACAGCTACGGCTGTAGCTTCAACTGCTCCAGCTGATCCAGAAGAAAAGAAAAATTTTGAGGAACTACTCGCATGGGCGGAGAAGGGAACAACACTTAGACGTATCAAGAGGTAAACTTTTTTGCAAAACTTATGTCCAATAAGCAAAAAAAGTGTTTAGAAACAAACTACGATCTCCAGCTCTCGTATCCATAAAAGAAAAAAAGTATTTGAATTATTATTCTAGTTATCTCTTTAATTTTCTGCCTGATGCTCTGAAATCAGGTATGTCTGAACGGTCCCAACCCGTCCAACCACGCGAGTTGATAAAGCTGGGGTGAAAATATTGATTGTTGTGTGCATTCATTGTTCCAATGAGATTTATTGCCCTTTTCCACGTATTTTTTTAGCTCTACATTATTATACATTATTAGTATTAAAGGAAGCAAAGTTTTTTTGGTTTTTCTCATTTTCCTCATTTCGAACTTCTATCAATTCTTTAGCAAATCATTCAAATATTCAAGTACTTTTAAGGTGGTAACATAGCGTGCTTCACTTCCTCTGCTTTGTCATTCTCCCCTTTCCTTTTTTTCTCTTTGCTCAATAGTTTTTTCTATGGAAAAAGATAAGAACAGTCATAAACAAGGACTGCACAGAAGTATTGATTTCCGAAAAGTTTTGTCATCGATGAAGAATTCATTATGTCGGCAATTTATTGGCAAACTTGCCATCTTATTCTCGCCGATTAATGAAGAAAATACTACGACCTTCCTTCTCCTGCCCGACACTTTCCTTAAACCGAATTGAAACGCCAAACATTAGCGGCTACAGTGCCAAAGACAAATTCACAAATAGTCCCCATGCCGACATACATCACTTTTTGAGAGAACCGGTTTTCTCGAGTGGTTTCAACAGTAAAGAAATTTAAATGAAACTTTAATATTATTTTAACTTCCACACTTTGATACACAGTAAGAACTTTTCCGTCTCTCGGAAATCTTTTCATATTTCCAGCGCGCTCTTTTTTTTCATTTCGAATATTTCGCGAGCAAAACCGGTTGCATTCTTCAAATATTCCAAAACACTATGATTATTATTAATAATTGATAATTCTTAAATGGGATGACGGAAAAAAGCAAAGAATCTTCTTAAAAATCAAAATTCAATTAATTTCTCTTTCAAAAAGCTGTTTTCAGTCTCTTTGAATGAGTTGTTAGAGGTTCGCTGTGGTTATAACACCGACAATCTCCATCGAGCCTCGAAGAAGTACGAGTTCCAATGTGAAGCCCCGGTGAGTTAGCAACTTTCCGTTTTCGTTCAAAAGGAAATGTAGTAAACAGAGATTATTAGTCATAGTTCAAAAACGAATTTCTTACAGTTCATTCAAGTTTTAATGCCAGTTTGAATTAAGGTTTTGCTTGCATTCGTAATGATATTAATGAATTATTATGGATTATGGTAACTTATCGATAAAGCCGCTCTAAGTAAGAAAACTTAAAGAAAATTCCTTATGTTTTTACGCATGCTGTTTCTGTTACAAGACATATCTGGCTACATTGAGAATGTTTCCGAAAATATGTTTATTTTCTTTTTCACATTTTCAATTGCAGGAGTCCAAATGTTTCTCAGTCATTTTCACTCATCGTAAATTTCTTCATAAATCGATTGATTTTGCAGCTGAAACAAAAGAGGTTGGAAATTTGTGGAATATTATTTGAGAGATAAATTAGATGAGAGAATCAATATTTCCTGTAAAACTCGAAAATCTATTTTGGCTTATAGATTCGCGATCGTTGGGCATCAGTCTTGGCTCATCTCATATCATTGGCAAGAGAAAATCAAGTTCATTTCAACGAAACACATTGGCTCAAAGAAAAATTTAATGAAGCTGACACGAATAGAAATGGTTTGAAAGCTCAAAGTTCTTCATTAATTATTTTTTCAGGGTCGCTTTCGTTTATGGAAGTCTGGAATTTGTTGAAAAAAATGAATTTGCAAATAAGTGAGCCTTATGCTCGGGCTATTTTTAGGGTAATTTCGTAAACGTTCTCGATTCAAAGTTTAAATGTTCAAATAGGAGTCTGAAGAAACTAATTCTAAGGATGGAGTTTTGAATCAGGCAGAGTTCATCAATTTCTTCCAAAGGTTGACTGATCGTCCTGAGCTTCGTCACCTTCTCCGAATGGCATCTGACGATGTCATCGAGACTATTAATACCACTGAGCTTCATCGCTTTCTCACTCAAGAACAGCAGGTTTGTCATCAATCTTTTTTTTTAGTAAAAACAATTGATTTAGTTTGTTGATGTTGATGAAAAAAAAGCTGAAACCATTCTTGACACCTTCGAACAAACGAAGCAGGACGCAAACAAACCTAAATTGATGGGAGTTATAGGCATGAGGCGTTTATTACAATCTCGATGGGGAAATATTTTGAAGCCTGGTCATGAAGGCATTTTCCAGGTTCCCAAAAAGGTCATTCAAGTTCAATCTTAGAGTTTATAGGATATGACGAAACCTTTGCCCTATTACTTTTGTAATTCTTCTCATAACACCTATCTAACTGGACTCCAATTGAAAGGCGAAGCAACGGTTGAGGGATACATTGCTGCCTTGAGAAAGGGGGCACGCCTGCTAGAACGTAAGTTATAAACTTTTGATGTTACTCAGGTCGTTTGTTTGCCCTTAACTTTTAGTTATAAGAGTTCCAAATTTAGGAAAAACATTTATAAAGCAAATGATAATCGAAAACAGATAATCTCATGCTTTCACATTTTCAGTTGATCTTTTCGACGGAGAACATGGGGAGCCTGTGATCACGCATAAGAGAACTCTTATTGAACCAATTTCTCTCCGTAACACTCTACATGCCATTAAGGTATCACTTTGAATATTTCTCAAAAAGGGATATTTGAATGTTTAAGCGAGAGGCATTTGCTTCCAGCCCTTATCCAGTGATCCTTACAATTGAAAATCATGTTGGGGTTGTTCAACAGAAGGTTATGGCCGAACTCTTTGAGGAGGTTATTATTCCTCATATGGGAAATATTTATACTCTAGTTGTTTTTAAGCTTCTGGGTGACATGCTATATGTATCCCCTAAAGACTCTGGAAAAAACCCACTTCCAAGTCCATATGAGTTGAAAAGAAAAATTTTGATTAGAGGAAAGAAGTTGTCAACTTCTGATGAAGTAGCAGATGATAATGAAGAAGATAACGACTCTCCTACAGCCAATGATAAAGCGGTACTTCGAGTAGCAATCACCTCTTTTATCCATTCTTTTATAGCATCACGTAATCCCATTAGACCCTCATTTCTCATGCTTGGTGTCATTACCGTCTGTCAAATTATCAAGCAACATTTACAACGATATGCAGTCTCGTAATTAGTTATCAACAAGTAACATTTCCAAAAACAAATTATTCAGATCCTCAAGATGGTTCACCTTCTTTATCTGAAAACAAAGTTACATCGTTATATGACGCCGGTTTTCCCATATTCACATATTCAGCCAGTCGCTTCATTAAGAGCTATCCAAAGGTGAGGCATACTCTTAACCTTCTTAGGAATTATAAATTCATATTTCCTTATTAAGGGTTTGCGGCAAGACTCGTCTAATATGCATCCAATGGCTTCATGGATTTGTGGAATACAAAGTGTTGCTATGAATATGCAAACAGCAGGAGAGGTAAGGTTATATATGGAAATTATCATTATCGTCATACAGGAACTGGATCTCAACACTGGCATGTTCCGTGTCAATGGAAATTGTGGATACGTTTTGAAACCTCAAGTTTTATTGGATGGGATAGGTTCGTATACCTCTACTTCTGTTTTACGATGTTGAGTCTGTAGATCCTCGATCTATGATAGTGCCAAAAGTGAAGTTTGGAATTGGTATAATCAGCGCACAATACTTGCCTAAATCTGAACCTGGAAGAGATATAGTCGACCCCTATGTTTCTGTTCAAATCTTCGGGATCCCTGCTGATGAAGATAAACAAAAAACACGTACTATAAAAGACAACGGTATGACACCTCTGCGAACTTCTTCTATTATTGGGTTTAGGCTTTAATCCTGAGTGGAATCAGAGCTTCCAATTCTTATTACGGTGTCCCGAAGTAGCGATTATGAGAATTTGTGTTAAAGATTTCGATTCTACTACAACGAACGACTTTATCGGAGAGTTTTCAATTCCCATCAGTAGTGTTCGCTCAGGTTTTCATTTGTATTGTTGAAAAAATAATTCGTATTTTAAGGATATTCGCAAATTCGGCTCAATACAGGACATCAACATACGGTAGATCAATGTGCTTCACTCTTTGTGCGTATTGCTATGGACCCCGTGTAAAAATTATGAAAAAGTGAACAAACATAATCAAAATAGAGGAAAAACTTTATCGCTTTCATAATATTGCCTTATTTCTAGATTTTATCTGTGATTTTTCCATATACGGTTTACAAAGTTTATTTATAAATTTACTCATTCAAGCGATCGGCTAACCATTTCTGAAAAGTGTACATTGCAAAACTACAGTAGAGTTTTTTTTCAAATCTTACAATTGGATCAGATGGTCGGTGTACGGCTAACTCAGTTAGAGCTTTGTTAAGAGCAGGAAAAACTTGAACTTCCAGATACTCCTTTGAATTCTTCAAATAATCTCTTTCGTCTCTGTCTTCAACATATATTTTTCAAAATACTGATATGGTTTATATGAAACTAACATCTAGGGAAAAAATGCGAGATATCTCTGAAAGCCATAACAGAATTTGGTGAGAAGTACATACCAGGATATGAACTGAAACAGTAGACTCGATAATCAAGAATCTGAGACTCATGTACTTATTCCCATTCTCTTCCTAACACTATCATAGACTTCACTAACGCATTAGTACTCTAGGTTAACAATGATCCAACCGATCTGTAGTGTCTTACACCAAGAAATGAAACCTAAGGAAGCATGACTGATGGTCACACGTGATAAGATTTTCTGTTGAGTGCAAAAGTATGACTAAGAAGCTTGTCCTCACATGTTCTTGCATTTCATTCTTTAATAATCTCTGGGTTACTTACCAGCTTCCATGACAATATTGCTCAACCAGCGAATGCAAATCTTCGTAAACACCATCTCGTTGTATCAAAGCCGCAATAATATCTTTACTAGGTTCTAGTTTAAGAGGTAAGTATTTGCCATTGTCGATAACATTCCAGGTGTTCCAACTTATAACATCCTGGCTTGATGATTCCAAAGTAATTTTCTAAACGAATGTACGAAAAAAAGTCATCGGGGAGGAGCAGACCTCGATGATAGAATACTTAGACTTTAACAAATCTTTCAATATCAAACTACCCTTATGAAACAAAGGTGGAAAAATCAGCAAAACTGCCTTAGAAGGTACAGATGGAATAGGTTCATAAGTAGAAGTAGTAGCGTCAGCAGACTTCATCCAGATAGTTCGGTACATTACTAACCCAATGCTACTACAAACCTTACATGCTGTTTCCCTTTTGCTTCAATAGACTCAATTTCCGTTGCCATTTACTATGCTTCAATAACATTTTGAAACAACTTAGACCTTATCTCTTCACTAAGAGAAAGTCACAACCGATAATTTCTGATCAAACAAACCAATACAAAATCATGCTCTACTAATAAATTTAAAGGTCTGAGTTTTTTTTTCAAGTTTCGCGCTTTTTCAATTTACTACTTTCGAACCGCCCGTAGTTTCTCTTTCTCTCATTTTTCGCATTTGGCCATTAAGATGAGGCTGGTTCATAGAATATCACGTTTTAAGTCTTATTTATAGTCTTAAATCAAATTGATTTGTTTTTTTTTACCTTTTTGATCTTCTGACCTCTTTATATGAACTTGGCACAACTATCGGAGCCACAATAGTACGGAATTGGCAAATGCCAGACCGCTGCGCAACCGCTTCGCTTGGATCTTGTTCCTCTTCGTCTCTGCCCGATAGAAATCCAACATTTTCGTCATTTTCGGGAAGCATCTTATCACTGTTCATTCATTTCTGTACTGATTGCTCTTAATGAGATTCTGCCTTTCTCTTTTGTTAGTCTTGTTCTTTATTTGTTTACTCGCTTAGTACTTCGAGAAGTTAACGACCGGTTTCTTTTAGAAATGGCCCCACCAACCTTCGCTGACCTCGGAAAATCCGCTAAGGATCTCATCAACAAGGGATACAGTTCGTTATATTAATTGTATAACTGTTGAGATCAATTTTCAGACTTCGGTTTCGTCAAGATCGACTCCACCTCTCGTGCCGGAGAAGGAAAGGAAGTCGAGTTCAAGACTGCCGCTGCTCACAATCTTGGATCTGGAAAGTTCGGAGGAAACCTTGACGTTAAGTACAAGATCCCACAATACGGTAAAATTGAAATGGTAATTCTATAATATTTATAATTTTTCAGGAGTTGTTCTTACTGAGAAGTGGAACACTGAGAACCAACTCGGAACCGTTGTCGAGATCAACGAGAAGTTCGGACGTGGACTTAAGCTCACTTTCGATTCTCTCTATGCTCCACAAACCGGAAAGAGATCCGGAAAGCTGAAGGCTGACTGGTCTCACCCAACTGCCCGCGTATGTTTATGTAATCGTGAATTTTTAATTGCGATTCATTACAGCTTACCGCTGATGTTGCTTTGACCAGCACCCCAGTCATCAACGCTGCTGGAGTTTTCTCCAAGGACGGATTCCTTTTGGGAGCTCAAGCTTCTTTCGATACCTCCTCCAACAAGCTTGCTTCCACTGCTCTCGCTTTCGGATTCCAAAGCAAGGAATACACCATCAACTCCTTCGTTGTTAACACCTCCGACTTCGGAGCCTCCGTCTACCACAAGATTGCTCACAATGTCGAAATTGGAGCTGCTCTCGGATGGAAGCTTGTAAGTCATAAACACTGATAAAAAAAAATAAAAGCTCTTCGCAGGGAGGAGATGGAGCTAACTTCGATCTCGGAACCAAGTACTCTCCAAGCCGCGACCTCACTCTTCGTGCTAAGGTCAACAACAAGAACATCGTAAGATTTTAAATAGAAATATAAGTTACTAATTATTGTTTATCTAGGCTGCTGTTGCTGCTACTCACAACCTCTCTGATGCCATGAAGTTGACTCTTTCTTCTCAATTCAACCTTGCTGCTAATGAAGCTCACAAGTTTGGACTTGGAATTGAATTCGAGCCATCTCACTAAGTCAATAGGATTTGTTATTAGTCATGCAGATATGTTTAGTTCCACAAGAAAACTTCCATGCGCAACTATTTAACCTGTTATTGATAATTTTATAAACTGAGATATCTTATAAAGCCTTGACGTTCTATGATTTTGAAGAAATGCGATGAAAGACTGTATCGTTATAATACAAATAGTTCAATTGGAAAAATTGCAAACATTTATTAATCTCACAGAGATAGTACTAGAATATCTTAATATCCGCATTTGTAAATCATCACATTAACCTGGAAATATTTTTTTTGAACTTGAAAATCTAAGGTCGATCTTGTGACAATGAAAAGTGTACCGACCTTGTTACACCTAAGAAGAAGAAAATGTCCCATTTCATAAGAAACTCGTGATCCAAAGCATTTCCCGCATATGACATGCCAAGTTGCTCCAAGTTGCTTATCCAATTCTTCCTTGACGTAAGCCGCTACATCCTTAAAGATGATCATAGCTCATTAACCAATTTTAATAAAATTCTTGAGGGATCATTTTCCGTTCTCTGGTTTCGACGTGATTTGCGAAATCTTAGAAACATCAATATGCTTACGTCATTTTGTCGTACAAACTTGATACATCAGTTCCTCAAATGTCGCTAACTAGTGATGACAGGAGAGCAAATGAGTGTGAGCATCTAATTTGCTTTGACTCCTAGAGAAGTATCAGGAGGACAGAGAGATAGAGAAAGAGATAGAAATTGTAATAAATCCAAAACGTCTTCTCACTTATTCACACTCAGTTGGAAAGTTAAAAGTCAAAGGTTTCATAACAAGTTTGTAAAAAAATGAACCTTATCGATATTATATAGTCGTTGAGCTTCTTTCACAATACCGATCACAGTGTTTTGCTCTGGCTCTTCCATATCAGTTTCTTTGATGTCTAACTTGAGTTCTGACATCTTCTTCCAAAGCACCTCAATATGATTACGTTAGAATGAAGAAGACAAGAACAATTAAATGAGCAAATATTCTGGAGAATCTCATGTAGAACAGCTTCAGACACATCATGAAGTTAAAGTAAATACGGTGAGAGCATATAAAAACGATGTTACAAATGATAACAAATAACTTCTTATACATAAAATGAGACCTACAAATTGATGATGGAAGCGTCAAAATGCTGTAAACTTAACGCATTGCACCTCTCAATAGAAATTTTTTGCTTCCTCAAACTTATATATTGTAACTCGGAGGAAAGCAACTATCAAATCATCCAGAATAACAGCTTAAGCTTAGTGAATCTCATCAAAATCTTCTTCAAATGTTTTCGATAGCACGAAATATCTTTGATCTTTATAATTTCAAACTTCACAAAGCACTGAAAAGTGAAATAGCTTACTACCTGATGCTGATATTCAGTATATTTTCTTCATCAAGAAGAGTTTGTTAAAAACTTCAATCAAAATGCCAACTGGCAACATATGACAACAAAAAATAAACAATAGAGAACAAATTTGAATTAATCTTTGAGAATTCAAGAAAAAAAGATAATATAGTGGAGAGGAGAAAGAGGAAACATTTATCTTCACAAAGAACGGCTTAAATCAAAAAATGGTCGACGAACAACTTGGAGCCAGGTGTCAATTTCTAATATTTGAACGAAGAAAAAATATACGAAAAAGTTTTTGAAACTTGAACTAGTGCTGAACGTGAAACAAGCACACGTGCAAAATTACGCCAGTTCAGATAAAGAACTGAGAGTTAATGTTGGAAAGGATAGAAAGAAGCACTCGTCTATGGATCCGGCTGGCGGCAAAGTAGACAAGTTGAGAGAAGGAACAGAGCAGTTGAAAGATTTCTCGGATGGCATCTGTTGATTACACTCAATCAGCTATGGCCTTATGATAGATGTGGACAGGAAAACAGCACTTGATACTTCCTCACTCGAATTATAATTAGGTTGGGTTGGTTGAGTCAAATATGGATTATGCTTTCGTGAAATATAAATGCAAAAACAATTTTATAAGAGAATATGACGATAATAAAGTTAACAATCGGAATTATCGCAGTTATTTTTGTTGAAGATCAGTGATATGTCGATGCGAACAGTTGATATGCTAATGAGGGTCAGAGAAAAAGATCCTTTTTTTTTTATTTTTTCGTCGATTGCGGTGACGAGCGGTTGCATTCATATGGTACAACTACTTTAATTATTTAAAATCGATATATTATACATTATTCCTTTTTTTTACTTCTCCTCGGTACTGTCGATTGAATGGTCCGCCGCAAGAACTCTTTGTTTGTGTTCAAGCTTTTCGGTTTCAGCCTAAAACTGTACATTCCTTTTTATTATTGTTTTTTTACAAACCATCCTTGTGGACCGAACTGTTCCGCACGATCTTTTGCTCGTTTTGCTTCAAACAGAAGTTTTGATTTAGCCTAAGAAAGCAGCAAGTTGAATATGACTTTGACTGAAAAACCTTGTTTCTTAGTTCTTGTTTTCTTTGCTCCTCTTCAGAAAGTAACACTTCTGAACTAGTACACGGCTCATTCGAGCTCACAGAAGTGCTTGGTACAGGTTCATCTTCTGATTCTGTTGGTTTTTTCGTGTCGTTCGAAGTACCGGATGCTTTTTGTTTGGATTTCTTATTTAGGAGTGCCATTATTTTTTCATTTTTTGTCTTCTCAGCTGACATTCCTACAAGTTTATAATGTAAATAAAAAGTGAAAAAGACTAAGAAAGTTTTCTCTTTAGTCAACAATATTGAACAGAATCAACTGATTTCAAGTAAAACTAAACGAAATAATTTAAACACGTTCACATGAACAATGGTTGAAAACTACGGTATTTAGAAGTAAATGGCAAACATCTATCAAACATTGATTGAACTACTTCTCATATCTGACTTAGATAAAAAGGTTAAAACTTTAAAAAAAAAGTTCTCTAAATGGCAAGCGCCGCGAACGGTGAGATCGAGAAAACAAGGCTAACCTAGAGGAAACAGTATAATCACATCACACAAATCCCGAAAAAAGGGTGACAATGTTGGGGGTTAAAGTGAATGGCCAATATTTACATACCACGTATATGATAAGTGATTTGCAATAACTTAAACGAGTTTTAACTACAAGATAAGCCCCGTTTCATGAGCAAATGTACAAAATAGTTGTTCAAAACATTCGATGGTAAAACAACAATTAGTTGAGCAAATTTTTAAAAGTAACATAGCTATGTTGCGTCATAGGTTTCTTCAACAACACCGGAATCGAGAGAGTTAAACGAAAGTCTTCGAGTAGGCGCTTGACCTTCGATGTCAGGAAGCCCACTATCCCGTTGACTATCTATTCTCAGCTTGTCCAACTCAAGTTCTAATCTTACTTCCTCCATTTGAGTAGACTCCTTTATAGACTCCACAACATCAGCAACAAATCTTCTTCTGAACGAATATGAATTACAAAATGGAAACCAGAACTTCAATTACCTATCCTCCACGTTTCTTGCATTGAAATATAATTTTTCATGATTTGGACAAACAACAACTAATCCAAATTCATACTGACCCTTCTGCAAAAAGTAAAAACTGCGTTGCTCAAATATTGAAAAAAGCTTACAGAAAATTCATGAACACTTGCACCTAATAATGGGCTATGATGTTTCAAAGCATAAGTTGTAGCAGCTGAGGATTTCCGCTTACTAATCGCTTTTGTAACCTGAAATTACATCCTTATAGCATATATTATCTTCTCATGAACAGGAACAGATAGAAGAAGATACATACCACGAGCATATCATTGAAAAGGAAAACATCCCGTTCATGACTTGATGGAGGCTGCTTTCGACACGGATCCATGACCTGCTGGAGGCGACAATAGCAAACTAGGCGACGTTGGGTTTCGGTCAAACGCTGAAGAGAAGAGTTGACACATCATATCAAATGAGAATTTAAGTTACTTACAGGTTTGTCTTTTCCAATAATAGCCATTTCAACTCTGCGCACTTGAGCGACATGGTCATCTCCAGCAACAAACTCATCTTGCCTAATTCTGTCATAAATTCCTTCTAAGAAAGATCTTAAAATGATGATTGAATGAACGAAGAAGAAAAACGATTCCACACCTATCAAAGTCTCGGCCCTCTTTCTCTCCTGGAGATTTATCTTGACCTCGTAAATTTCTAACGAACTCCTCTGAACGCATCCGAACAGAATTCTTGAAAATGAAACAGTTAAAAAGTCGTTAAAATAGAATTTATACCTTCAAGTTCGGTGAATGCAAATCTGTGTTTAACATCATTATTGCAAACGCTAACATATGAACTGAGTCCCAACCTCCTCTCCACATGGAGGCTCTATTAGGATTGCATTTGCAGTAATGGATGGCGAAAGCCTGAATAAAAAAGCGATAAATTCAGTTGAGAAGACCTCAAAAACTAACCTGAAGCACTTTATCTATTTTCTCTGATTCTTTCGGCAATATAAAGTATTGAAGAGCTTTTCGTAGAGCGACATCCACTTCTAGTCCTCGTAAATCCATTAAGCCGATGAAATATCTGAAAAAAAGTTGAAGGTCAAGAAATAATCAGATTCATATTGAGATAAGACAAATCAGAGATTATAAAACACGGGATAAACACAGCTACATCACTCACTTTAACACGCAGTTGTGGAATGGCGTGTGTAATGTACCCACATATTCCCCAATCATCTGCTTGCTCAATCCTCGACGTCCGAAAAGCAGCTTAGCTAGGGCTTCAGGTGATTCTTCAACAAATCCCCAAGATGTTAACAACTGAACTCCACGTTCTGGCTTTCTAGAAATTGAACGCTTTAAGAGTTTATTGTGAAGAGACATACTTGTTGAAAAAGTTTAATGCAATACGATATTGTCGTTTACGTTCCTGTTCTGTCATTGCTCTTGGTAAACGAATAGTACTGAAAAGAGCGTTCATTAAATATTGAAAGCAAAAGGAAAAACTCACTCTCTAACTATTTGTTTTTCTAAACGTGGAAGACTGTTGGAATGTGCTTGATTCTGAGCAGCCAAAGAAGCTCTAGGAACCCAGACGACAGGTACTTCACCATTACTACCAGGAGGAAACCTCCGCTGTACAAGACGCGGAGACATCAAACTATCTGGAACTACTATCTGAGAAAAATAATGAAACGGAGAATCAGGTTCTCTGAGACTATAGCTGAATTGTAAATCAAAGCTTAGTAAGATGCAACAGGTAGGATGAAGAAAGCGAGGAAATAAATTATCTGAGAAAAAACTGATATCATAATCGGTTGTTGCAACAATTCAAGGCAAATTAAGAAAAAAATTTGAAACGATTCAAACTATTTGTGACCAGCGTCTTATAAATAATTTAAAAGCTCGAAAAAGCAACTGCTGGAAGGTGGAGCTGGCTGTGTCAGGGCGGGCGAATCATAATGATGGTCTCGAAAACGAAGAATCTAACAGCGAAAAGAAAAGAGGGATGAAACACTCAGATATAAGAGAGAGAGAACTTAGAATTAATTCCAAATTGGACTGAGAGAAAAAGATAGCAGAGAGATAGATAAAGATAGAACGGGTGGATCAGCTTGCCATTGACAAATGACCGGAGACAACAACGGTCGAAGATTGTGACACCGCAAAAGAAGTCACAAGCATTCAAAGAATCGCTGTTTTTCTTGGTCATCAACAGCGACAACATTAAAATTGAGGCAAATCAATTAAGGCTTGAAGTGCACTTCTTTTGTCCTTGCTATAGGCTATCACATCACATATAACATGAAAGAGGAGCACTATATCCAAACATTGAACTCAAATTCAAATATTCTATAGAAATTTTGAAGTTGATGTGTTTCGGCAGATTACACCTAATCGTCATCATGTCAATCACATGAGTTGAATAGGCACATGAATTTGCAGAAGAAAATGAAGAATATGATGATTATGTGAACAAGAAAGAGAAAACATACGAGCTAAACGATATCCATCAAATTCTCTCTGGCACATCATCATTTGTAAATCAAAAAATCTAATAAGCGAAGCGACATTACAATTCGAAAGTGCTCTTCGTTCAATAAAAGATCTCTCTAAACAATTCAATCGGTTTCACTTTTTTAAGGCATAAGACCACCCCTCAAAATCATAACCGAATCGACACACGTTTCCCTTTTCGGAAGCTTAGTTATGAGTCTGAAAACAGGGGTCTCAAATCCTATTTAATCACCGCAATGACCAGAAAGCACGAAAGAAGAAGGTTGAAGATGAAGACGGCGTTGACAAGAAAGACTGAAGGGGAATATTTCTTCCGCCAACATATGGTCCCACTTGCATGAATGATTTGTACAAAGGGAAAAGCCTTTGAAACTGAATAGTTTAGAAGCTTTGATGATGCTTGGATATACATATTCCACACATTACACGACAATTCTGGTCTTTACATTACTCTCAACTTCATCGAATTTAGAGAGAAGAAGTTCACCAAAAAAAAGTGACAGAATAACACAACGGTCACATAAAGAAGTCATGTAAGACATGGTTCTGTCGCTATGAAGTGACATCTACATTTATTACTCCCGGTTCTCTCGCTAGTTCGATTCTTGTCCAACCATGGACGTCGATAACGTTATACAAATTACCGTTTTATAGTCTCTTTCACATTAGAGGAGAGATCTAGCTGGTATTCATCGACAGAGAAAGAGAATCTACTTCCACTTATGAACAGATAATTCAAAAAACAAAGACAGATCATATAGATTCGAGTAGACAAAGGGAAATCGATTTAGAAAGAATAAAAAGCAAGAGAGAATGAAGAAACAAAACATACCGATCATACTTCTGTTATGGAAAATATTGGGCGATGGAGAAGGTGGGCTACGAGCTCTTTCTTCTGTACCAGCACGTATAGTTCTATCAGCTCTGAGTTGTGCGGAGAGACTCGTGCTTGGATTGTATCTGAAATGATGAATTCATTTTAATTTATTTCTAGGACAGTATGTGGAAAGGTTACTCATCATTGTATGACAAGAGGTTGTTCTGTACATTTCTTCAGTAGGATTAACAAAATTCAACTTTGAAAACTAAGAAGCAATACGTCGACAGAGATCACAGCTTAAAAGTAAATAAAAAGATGTACTGGTTGCGCAAAGAAAAAAAGCTGAACCTAGGGGAGAAGCTTGATGATCAGAAAATAAAACAAACGTATCAGAGTGTATAGAGTGCCTCATGGCAAAACGATTCAGAAAATTCTTATTTTTTTCACTATTAGCATTGAGGACAGTGGGGGAAGAAATTTGAAACAGTGGTAGTGATGAGGACAACAATGAAGTGATTCATTGACGGGCAAAATCTATGTGTCAAAGGTCGGCTGGTTAATTTCGACAGCCGGTCTTGCTTAGATCAACATCATTGGTGAGTGGGTTAGATGAAAAATTAGAGGAAGCTCCAGAATATTTATAACTGACGCCTCGATGTCTACTTGTTTTATTGCATCGCCCAATTTTCTGGTAACTAAGCCCTTTACTGGAACGTTTCCAGGATAGTGATGGTGAAAGCTAAGGAAAACACATTGGAATGCGGGGGTATTGATGTGTAGTCGTGGGAATAGCCAATGATACTGTTTATGCGTTTTTGGAAGTTCTCACGATTTTCTTGGGTCGCCAACCGGCTAAATGGATGAAACTTTCGATATAGTAGAGATGGGATGGAAGCAAATTAACAAAAATACTTGAGCTTTGGAGGATGTAAATGAGTCAGGAAGGCATTAAGAGATGAGATGAATTCTGAGCGAGTAATTTCTTTACTATTCCGATGACAAGTTGGAATATAAAAAGAGGAAAACGTGCCATTTATGGCAAAAGGACATTGGCAATAGCTGAGTCGTCCAGAATATGAATGAAGGAAGGAGCAGAAAATCGTAAGAGGCAAGAAGGACTTCGACAGACAATAGTAGGAGGAGTAATACACATACTTATCAAGTTGCTTGGAACTGAATTTGCAAATTCACAACAAACTCGAGTTTCAAATTGAAAACTGCGAGTCTGCAGAACGTCAGTTAGTTCTCGATGACCATATGGGGAAAGAGTGCATACAAAGAAAAGGGAAAGAAAAAACGAGCTGGTGACAGCCAAGAAACGACAATTAATGAGAATCGTTGTTGACTTACCTATGAGGACTGACAACCAGAGAGGTAGGAGTTCTAAGCAATCTATTTCCCATAATTAAATTAGGTACTGGGGGTGCAGTGATAGGAACTCTGAAAGAAGATCTTTCATTAAACATCGGAATGTGTTAGTTCGTAAAAACAAATTAAATGTCTCAGAAAACTAATAAAAATTTGAAAAAGACATAAATGGTGAAAATCACACCTTAGCACAGGATCCCTCATTTGCTGCCACCGTTTTGAAAGTCGATATTCTCTATAGGCTCTTTGTATTACTATAGCAGCACGATGAGCTTTTGATCTCCCTCCGTATCTTTTCTCCAAGACCTGAAAAAGAGAGAAGATGATTTACTCGTTTAAACAAAAAAATATTTGTAGATGAAGAGATGAAACAGTATCCGCTCTTAAGTTCGAAAGTAGTGTATGAATGGAAGGGGATGAGTGAACTCATTATACATCTGGTATTTTCTCAATTTTTAGACAAACAAAAGATTTTTTGAGGGATTGATGATCGGTAGTAGAAACTGATGTTGATTAATCATAACATCAAGAGAGAAATATGATTAGGATGATGATGAAGTGGTGATGTTATACAGATCGTAACATAAGAACATGCATAACAGTGAAATCATTCTGTTGGTCACAACAAAATGTTAGGAACTCGAATCATTTCAAGACTAAGAAAAACATAACGGAAAAATAGTGTACGTGTGGACACCACAGATTAGATGTGATTGAAGAGAAACCACGTAAACGATCAGCTACTTAGCGGTATGAGTAAACTGTACTAGGTGTCAAACTAAATAAAAGAGAATTTGAGTCATAGGAGTTATTCATGGGTAAGCGATCGAACATTTCCAACTGAGCAAATTTTCATCATCATAATCGCGAATGTAATAATTATACCCTTTCCATTTTGGGTAATAGGATAGCTATGAACCTATGGTGCTCAAGCAAGAGCGAGGAAAAGATTGCAACAGAAACTAAGCTGGTCAGAAGGGTCATGTGCTAAACAGATCACGACATATGACTAACAAGAACAGCTCGAATATTCGAAGCGTCACTTGAAAAAATGGAATTCGATCTCTGAGACGAATCTATATAAGGAAGATACATGTTAGCAGAGGATACAAAAGGGAGTGACAACGATTTAGTGAAGATAGTGGTGATTCACGAGGTGAAAAACGAGAAAAAGGCGTCATAGGTAGAGAAATGGGAAACCACCCTAAATGGAAGTGGCGAAAGACCTCTGATGGCGCTAGTTCAAAATGAAATCAACTGGACACGATAAGCATCTGGATTGTTTCATTGGCTTTCTCTCACTATTGGAACATAACAAGCAGATTTTGTAAAACACAAATACCAATTGAAAGAGTATGAACGAAAGAATTTCACATTAGACTTTCAATTTGAAATGAATTCTGATTGGTGCCATCTTGCCGTCAAATACTTGCCATTATTGTGTAGAAAATAGAAAGATGCTTGAGAAACAAGAGCATATGCTTTCTATGAGAAATGATTCAACGGATTCCTACTATTGTGCGAGCGACACAGAATGAGGATAAAGTGGTAAGGAGAAGGAAAGAAATCAAATGCAAAAACAACATACCTCGATCTTTCGACGTTGCAAGTCATCAGATATTTCGTATCCATTCCCTGCATAGACTCGGCTTGCACTTGTTTTCCCTCTCCAATCATTCAAGGTAGTTGTTTTACTTGTACAAGCAATGTTAGAAGATGACATACTGGAAACACAATCTAATTAAGAATAAATTTGAAAAAAATTTGAGAATTCATAAAAAGGTTGATGGGTAGTTGAACGAATGAGGTTTAAGTAAATAAACAGGACATAGCAGAGGATTCGGAAAAATGAGAAAAGACGAAATATGAACAAACGAAACTGCCAAACTCGGATTGAATGAGGACCTCAAAAATAAGCCGAACGTTTCTTTCCAAGACTTTCAGCCCTGTGAGGGAGTATGAATCATGGTCACGATCGATGATCGAGATATAATTCAATTAAAGTAGAGAAACGAGAAAAGCAAGATCGTAATTGATTAATATCCCTTATATGTCAAAATGCTGGAATAAAAATTTCTGACTCCCAAGCCTGAAGGCTGCAGCCGCATATGAAAGCTGAATGAAATGCTTAAATTTTGACACGTTGATTGTTTACAAATCAAACATATAAATTAGCTCTGGGAGGATGAAATTTCATGAAAAATCAATTATCAATTAGCATAACTGGTATATTCATGGTTTTACTTTTTACGAAATCATATTTCAGACAGCAAGTAGTATTGGACTGAAGTGGAGTGGGAGAGATACGAGTGAGATAGACAACATATCGAGTGAGATGGGCGAAACACCATTTTTTGGACGGAAGAGACAGTAAAAAAGAAATACTTTATATTTTTCAGATATAGATGAAAGCAACACAATCAAACAGGCAAATACTGTCGAAACCACAAAAAGCAATGGGCCGCCTCAGATATTGTCCCATTATCTCAATCAAAAAAAGCGAAAACACTTGATCAATCGATAAGGGAGCGATCGTTGAGACTAAGTTGTGGTTAATATGACGAGTATTCTCGATTTAACCTTTTTAAAGTTCTTCGAAGCCAAATTTAAAGCAAATAGGACGTGATTGGAAGAAGTAAAATGAACGTTAGACCAGATTGCGAACTGTGTTATTCCAAACTAACCTGTATTTCTATTTGACCTCAGTTTAATGTAACAGCTGATATTCTCTAAATTCCCATATCCTGTCTACAAGCTTAGCTTTTGTTGGCGCGAAAATCCTAAAAGTTAGTTCATTATGTTTGAATATGGAAATGGATAAAAAGCGAGAGAAGAGATTCAGAATATAAAAAGATAACCAAGCAAGCGTATATTCATTTCAGGTCTTTCACAGAACCAGAAGTTCCTTTTATGAAGAAAAGAGGGAATTTTGAAAATAACAGAGAACATGGCAGAAAAAACGAACAAAAACTTTATGAGCAACTGAGGAAACATACTGCTTCTGAGGAGAGGGACAGCTGAAGCAAACAAGAACAGAAACTGAAGAAGCCTTGAAAGACAGATAAATGTGGATAGAAGGGTGGCAGTTATTGGATATTTAGTAGGAGAAGCAACTTGTGCCCGCGCGAAATTTGGTGGTAGGGAATCAAATAAGGCGAGACAATTGAGTAATCATGTACTTGAGTAGCCCAACAAAGCTAAACGACTCGACCTTAACGACATAAGAGTTTAAAAGTGAGAAGAAAGGATAACTAAGTGGACCAAATTAAGAGAAACAACGATAATGAAAAATCAAATAAATTGTAAACATGGCGAGCACAACCGTCTACCGTCTGCCAAACACAGAAATAAAGTACGCAATATATATATATTTTTGCGTGAAGTATACGTGAAGTTACGCTTTTGTGCAATGAGAGCGAGAATTGAGGAGACATAGTGGTCAGTTTGTAAATCAAAACATCAATAATTTGATTGAAACTTTGTTTTTATCTCCAAGTAATTATGAAATTTAGAAAAATTTGAAAGATAGATATAAATATATCAGAATGGTTGTCGATTATAGATTATGAAAAAATTGATAGGCTTCTTCTTACCGGGGACTGCATAGAAATGAATGAGAGAAAACTAACAAAGCTCGGTTTCGCCGACAGAAAAGAAGTACATTCGAAAGCGGAATTGGAAGTAAATGACATGGCTGTGTCTTCAAGGTATTTGATGATAACAGGTAATCAAAGCGGAACTGTTAGGTCGAAAAAATGAACTAATAATGCCGTATATACGATTATAATAGACTATTTCTGATTTGAAGTATAAATATAGATGAAGAGGGGTTAGATAAAAAGACATTGAAAACAAAATGTTGGGAGAAGAAGAAAATGTCCGACGACAAAACGATAATTAACTATCGTTTGTCCTAGTTAGAATATTTCCCTTATAGTTCCAAGAAAAACTATTCAACTATCTATTTAAATAAGAGAATGTTATTTGTATAATGAAAATCATCAAAAATCAAGGAAATATGGGCCGTGTCGTCAATGGTTCAGCATTTGGTCGTGCTGATCAATATGTCCATATGATATGGACGGGCAAGCGAAGCAGGGTGTAGCCAGTGACCCCTGCTGGCTGGCTAGTCAACTAGCTATGTCTGCCATTTCAAAGGTTAGGAATTAAGATACTTCATCGCAGAAACAGTTCTCAATAAGAAAATGTTTCAATAAATTCTATGAAATAAAGAATGAGATTTTTGTTTATTTTTTGGGATCTGAATCAAAAGTCGATCTTGAAGAGGAAGAAAGGAAACGATTGGCCGACAAAACGAAATAACTTTGCGCTTAGTTTATAAAAGAAAAAAAGAGAATTTGGAGCTTTTGCAGATTGATTTAGTTAGCAGCAGTTGCGTAGTAATTGGTACAGCATAAATCATGAAGTTCACGTGAAGTTTGTGTCAAATGCCATATTCTAACTTTTGAACGCTTTGAAAGAGGATATGAGAGGAAGAGAAAGCGAGAGCGAGAGAGAGAGAGAGAGAGGAAGAGATTGTAGCGAATTATAATAAACGAAAAATAACTGATTATTATACTTAAAAGAGTGCTTAAGCTTTATGAAAACATGGCTAAATCCGAAATAGGATGTTTCTTGTTGTTTGTGAATGACAATGCCAACATTTGCTGCTATCCATTTAATGTGTGGAATAAAATAAAATATTATTATGGAGAAGAGAAGCAGAGAAAGGAGACACAGCTGTCTATTCCCATTAAGACTTGGAAATTTTCTGTCGGGAGTGAAGAGGAAAAAGACAGACAAACACACATAAACTAAGATATTGTAAAAAAAAGAGACTTAGAGAGAGAGAGAAAGAGAGAAGGAGAGAGAGAGAGATGAAGAGAAGACGCATGAAGTATAAAAGAAAGAGAAATCTTAAGAAGGAAGGAAGCAAGCAGAAGGAGTTCGAATAGACGAATATGGCGTGTTACACCTGGCCCACTCTCCTATAGAAATAACTTTAATCTATTTACATTGTATTTTTGCAATTATTTCAAATCCGCTGTTTGCCTGATAGTTGAAACCTTCGATAGGTTTTCTGTCGCTTTGACGTCAATCAAAAAACTTCTGCTGATTGGAATGAGAGAAGAAATGAACTGAAAACATTGATAAATAGAAAAATAATTATAATTTAGTAGATCATGGAAACGGAACGGTAACCAACACTTCTTGTGCCGACACAGAAAATACCCGTCGAATCGAAAATGTATACTTTGAAAGATTTATGAATTATGATTTGTTGCGTATTTACTCAATAAGGCTCGGAGATACATGAGAAATACTTTTGCACCTCTATTCCCGTTCTGTTCTAACAACTAGAAGGCTTCACTTGTTATCATTTTCTTTATAATCAATCCCTTTATTCTCTAACAATCTTTGTTTTTTGATTTTTAAAGATAGTTTTCGTGTGTCATCATATCAATTAACGACATCCATCAATTAATCAACTCCTATCCTATAACTCGGGTGAACCTGAATTTGAAAACCAAAAAACAAAGTCTGTTCAATAGATAAACAGAAGCTTATTGATTTTATACTTATTTTGTTATTAACAAGAATGTTTTAATAAGCGGACATGAACAGGATTAGAGCAAAAATTATATTGCCTGACTGCTGTATTAACATGATCGCGCTTATGTGTGCAACACATGAAAAAGGAAAGCACAACCGTTGGCTGGCTGCGACTGTCGGAAATGAACATCGCACCACTCACACTTTGTTTCATCCGAAAGCACGACCATTCACGCACGAGACATCTAAAAAATGAAAAGCACGATTGTTCGCGCGCTAAGTTCTTGAAGGTTGCGAAGGAGCATGACCGCTCAAGCTATGTGATAACAGGAAATGAAAAGCACATCTGCTCGCTTGCTGTTTTCATGGAAAATGTAATTTTCTTCACTCAGCGAACTACTTCAATCAAAAAATTAAGGAAATTGGACATTTGTGTTTCTTGAAGAAGAAGAGCAACATGATGAAGTTTACTGCAAAGGTCATTCACGCAAGCACAAAAACACTGACATTGAGTCTGTATCCATCATATTATTAAGTTAGTATGAGAGTTGTACAGAAGACTCTTCTCACACACCTCATCCTTAATGTTCTTTTTATGAATATTGTAAAATTTGTGAAGGTTAGTTCGTTCACGTGTTCAGAAGGTAGTTTTCTTTTGATCTTCAAACTATCTGACTGATTGTCAGATTGGAATGAGATTGTTTGTATCGATAGAGGAACAGGTCGATGCCTCATAAAACATTGAAGACTGGGAATAAAAAGGAAAAACTGACCACGTAAGTATCCATTCGGTCTACAAACGGTTACCAAAGTCACCTGTATTCTTCAATGGATTTGAAATCACTTTTTGTTGATCCTTTCCATCCTCTTTTACCATTCAAAGAGAGAAGCAACAATATTGCTCATGCCCCAAAACGACCGTGTCCATTGAACGAGCACGAAAAGAAGGTATGTTCTGAAGTTCAATTTATGATTCACAGACCTTTATAGCTTGCTATTCGCAACATCCTTCGTTATGTTCCTTCCGAGCATCACGAGCTATTAGCTTCTGAATTTAAAAAAGAACTAGAGGATTTTGGACATATTCATGCTTACCGCTTCATGCCTAATTTCTCTCTCAAGGTGAGCATTCAAGTAGTTCAGTGATCAATTGTAAGCTAAGGCTCCAAAAATTGATGATATCAAAGCTGAGTGTCAACAAGCTGCTGCTATCATTCTGATGATTTTGAATAATCTCGATCCTGCCGTAGCTCAATTCCCTCAAGAGCTTGTTACATACGGTGGCAATGGACAAGTTTTCAGCAATTGGATTCAGGTATATCAGATGACTCTTTTTAAAAAAAAATTAAAAATGGTCATTTACCATTGAATGGAGAATGTTTCTTTAGTATAAGAATAATCATGTGATTCTACATAAAGGAAAAACAATCCAACCTGGTTTATGTTTCTCCAAAAATCTATGACGTAAAGTTTTACTGATTGAGTGGAATGGAGGATATCAGTTTTTATAGCATAAAAGAGAGTAGAAGATACGAGAACTGTACCTTAGACACATGAGAATACGAAGACCACATACGTCGAGATATTTCCATTTTTGAAACGTCTCTATCTGTCGTCAGAATATTGCGATGTTCTAAAATAGAAACTTCAACACCAGCAAAGGCTGTTGTCATAAAAACAAATAGGAAAGATGTAAAGAGAGAAATCGAGAGAGAGAGAGAGAGAAAGAGAAAGAGGAAAAGATCAAGGTAAAAGTATATAAAAATGTTTTTTTGCAGTTCCGATTGACTCTTAGATATTTAATCAAAATGTCCAAAAAGCAAACACTTGTGATGTATTCGGGACATCCATTGGGACTCTTTCCTAGCCATGAGGATTCTCCACGTATGACAATAACAAATGGAATGGTTAATAAACGTCATTTATTTAATTAACTCAAATATGATCTTAGGTTATTCCAAACTTTTCAACTAAAGATCTTTATGATAAAATGTTTGCATTGGGGGTTACTCAATATGGTCAAATGACAGCAGGAAGTTTTTGCTATATTGGACCTCAGGGAATCGTTCATGGAACTACGGTTGAACTAATTCGAATTATTTGAATGAACAAGCATGTTCAGATTACTGTTATGAACGCCGGGAGACGTTATTTGGGTCGTGAATCTATGGAAGGTGTTGTGTTTGTAACAGCTGGATTAGGAGGGATGAGTGGGGCTCAACCAAAAGCTGCTCGAATCGCGGGGTGTATTGGAGTTATAGCTGAGGTAATAATCTTAATGATAACATCCTGCAAGCAATTTATAATAACCTGACAATTGCAGATAAGCAAAGAGGCTTTGCTCAAAAGACATAGCCAGGGATGGCTAGATGTTCATTCTGATAACTTGGATGAAATAATCAATTGGATTCGTGAGTATAAGCAAAAGAAAGAAGCTATTAGTATTGGATATCTCGGAAATGTTGTTGATTTATGGTAGAAACTCTTTAGCAGCTTAATTAAATATAAAACGTTGTAGGGAACGTCTTGCTGAAGAGAAGGACAATCTGGCTGATTTGGGTTCTGATCAAACGTCTCTTCATAATCCATACCTTGGAGGATATTACCCAGTTGGATTAAGCATGGAAGAGTCAAACATCTTAATGACTTCCGATCCAGCAAGATTCAAACATCTAGTTAAGGAAAGGTATTCATTTTTATTATTTCTCTGCACTTCTGTCATGACCAGCCAAATTAAGTTAAAACGTTTTCTGTTTTTCAGCCTCCGTCGTCATATCGGTGCAATTGACAAATTGAACAAACGTGGATTATACTTCTGGGATTACGGTAATGATTTAATTATAATCATATAATCAATTAAATAATATTCTGCAGGTAATGCTTTCCTCGTTGAATGCCAGCGTGCTGGAGTTCAAATGCTCACAGAAAACGCTGCTGATGATAAATCCTTCAGATATCCTTCTTATATGCAAGATATAATGGGGTAGCGTTTTCTTTTCATTATTTTTTTCTTCGAGCCCTGCTTCTCTGAAGAAGAAAAAATAAATGAAGTGGAAAGAAGTTGAGCAGAAAAAAAAACAATTTTTAGTGACATTTTCTCAATGGGTTTTGGTCCATTCCGCTGGGTCTGTACTTCCGGAAAGGAGGAGGATTTGAAGAAAACGGATCAGATCGCGTGTGAAGTTATTGAAAACTTGGCGAATACTCAAAGTTAGTTTTGTTTTCTAAACATTTGGTGGACAAGAAAAAAAAAGAGTTTAAACACGCAAACGAAATAAAAATGAGATCTGGATCGAAAGATTTTTTTTTCTCATCGAAAGAAAAACTGTTCCTTTCGTACTCTCCCCAATCTACACGAGATAGATTTGAAGTGTGCGAAGAACGAGCGATTGAAATATAAATTAAATCTTTTTATTTCCAATTAAAACATTCAACGATCTTTTGTAAAAAAGAGATGATGTGAAGAAAATTAAGATTATTTCAATTATTTCTTACTCACAGTCACACTCATGTCACATCGCTGTCGTGTGAAAAAAGTATTTTGGAAGCGCCACTTCTTAATTGCAAGTGTTTCTTACCTTTTCCGGTAGCTTGATGAATCTTCTCTGCTTTTTCTTGATTGAACAAAAAAATTGAACCAAAGACCATGAAAATGGCCAATCTATCACATTCGCATGCGTTCGACTTCTTGATAAATTCGCGCATCAATGAATATTTTATTTTCCTTAATTTTTCAGTTCCTGACGGTGTTCGTCAACAGTACATCGACAACAGTCGATGGATTAAGGGAGCTGATGAGAATCAACTGGTTGTTGGAACTCAGGCTCGTATCTTGTACTCAGATCGTGCTGGACGAATTGCTATAGCTAAAGCATTTAACGAAGCCATCAGAAGCGGAAAAATTACAGTAAGTTCAGCCACATTTAAATAATGTCCTTCTTCTTCATTTTAAAACTTATCGTGTACGCTTCTCTCCACGCTAAGGTCATTGAAGTTATCAAGTTTCTGTTGAATGCCATGAACATTAGTTCAAATCTTTTTTGAATGCCATTTCTCATGGTTATGAAAATGATTTGAGCTGAATGATTCAGTTTTCACTTTTCTACCGAAGCTCTCCTTTTCACATTTCTGAAATAAGAGAAGGAAGGAGAGAGAGAGAGAGAATTGAAAGAAAATTGTATGAAATGCTTTCAATTATTTGAGAGCTCAAAAAAGCTTTTGCTATGCTCTGACCACATAAGGAAATTGAAAGCCATTTAGGCCAACGAGCATGTTTCATCCATATAATTATAGGAAAATCTGAGCTAAAAACCCTTTCAACATTTTTTTTCTCCTTCTTTCATTTCTATTTATCTTTGTTCAGCAACAGAGAGAAGAAAAAAAGAAATATTTTTTCTGTTCTGTAAGAAAAGCCATAAGTACATTCAAATTTATGGCGTCTCACTCTATAACATATGAGACTTGAATTATAGCAATGGCAATTCCAATGGAAACAACAAAAAAAGTCTATTTCCTTACAAAATTTCTTATTGAACCTTCGCATAGGTCTGCTGTGCTCTTCCTGGGGGGTTAATGAAAGGAGTCTCTCTGTCTCGTCTTCATCTTCTTTTCCGCTCATCTCCTATCTCTTCCTTACCTCCTACTGCTTTAACATCTTTCCATCCTTTTTTTTCTCGATTTAGAAATCTCAACTAGCTTTTCAGCTGAGAAATATGATCTTCTTAAAGCTATAAAAAGCTATTCTAGAAGATGAAGAAAAGTGCAAACAGTCGCATCTACGAGACCACCGCCAATCAGTAGTCTTGTAAGTTGCTGAGTTAGCTTTCTATGGGACAAACAAATTTTGACAAGCTAAAAGAGCCTTCTGAAACGTTTTTCCCTTCAAATGAAGTTTAGTGGTGTTGAAGCTCTTCTACCATTCTTCTGTTACAACCAGTTTTCATTTTCATTTCTGACGACGTTGTGAGCGGTTGCTATGAAGCGTGAAGTTTTGAACACAGTTTCCTTGAAGCTCGTCGAATAACCTATGAAGTGTTATAGAAACTAGGGGATGAATAGATCTTTTTAAGTATTTAAAGAAAAAATATCCATTTAAGGAATTCTATCAATGATTTCCTGTTTCCGTGCATTAAAGTATTCATATCACCTATACTTTCGATTCACCTTCATCTTACCCGTCTCTCTCTTTCTCCAGCTTTCGTTCCATCTCTCACATACTCTCTTCTTCTGGTAGTATGAAGATGCAAAAATTCATTTTTGCTTACTCTAAGATTATATTTTTAAAAGTAAAACGAAGAAAAGAAAACAAACTAATTGATGTTTTTGTATTTTCCTTCCCATTACTTACTTGGGAAAGATGGTTGAGATCATAGATTGTCGCTTGTCCTTTCTTTATCTTTTTTATACTTTTTGATGTCTTTTTTGATGCCTCAACCCACTTCCGATTTTGAAAAAAAAACTTTGAAATTCTCCAATGGCATATTCAAAAGTAATATTCAGCGAATCATCTAATGTTCCAATGCCTTACTTACATCATCTGTAGCATTTGGCTTGATTTGGCAGAAAGCTCAAATCGTTTTTTCTTCTTATTTGTTTATTTAATTGAAATAAACTGGACGGTAAATGAAATCATACGGAGAATGGCATGTCACACAATTTAATTTGTCTTTCTTCCTACAAAATAAGCTAAATTGATTTTTTTTTAGTTATAAAAAAACTTTGGAACAAAGTTTCAAACACTTTGAACATAAGATTACCCTAGTTCCCGATATTGCAATCGTGCATCTATGAGTTCAGCTGACCAGTTTTTTTTTGTTTTTGTTCACACGAAAAGCATATCCTCTCTTCTTCGTCCCCCCCCCTTCCTATCTCTTCTTCCCCTTTTTCTGTCTCGTTTAGACTCTTGCATTATACTCCATGATATCTTAATTTGAACTAAAACATGTTGAATTCTCACAAATGTCATCCAATTTTCAAAGGAAGTTAACCAAATTTGTAATTTTCAGGCCCCGATTGTGCTTTCACGCGATCATCATGATGTTTCTGGAACAGACTCTCCATTCCGTGAAACATCAAATATAACTGATGGAAGTGCTTTTTGTGCCGATATGGCTATACAGAATGTAATTGGTGAGTAATTACTTTCATCGGGAGAATGGTAAAGAGAAAAGTTTTATAATTGAGTAAATGAGATAAATTGAATAGAAATGAGCATTGAGTCGAAATGATTACAAGATGTTCTGTGAATGAAGATTGAGAGTTGAAAGAGTTTCTCTCATTTTCACACATATCATCATCCATTTCAAATTCTATGGTCGATTAAATGATTAAGAAGTCGAACAGGATCATAAGAAATGAGATGAAATTAATTCAAAATGGATCGTTACAAGTGAAGAGGACGTGTCTCATTCTTACATCTTTCAATACTTTATACGCCTTTTTCGCATTTTAATCGTTCCTATTATCTTTTTGAAGCGAGAACGAAGGAGGAGGGAGAGGGGTGGTGTGGCTCGGGTTCTTTTCTTTCATATTTCTTTTCTATAGAATTTCGTTTCCCTCGATAACCAAAATGACAGCTAATAAGGCTCTTATTCAGTGGACATTCCATGTTTCAGACCACAAACGCTTCTTCTTACTTTTAAGTTTGTAGTTTTGGATGATAAAATCAGTCATAAGACGGAGAGATAGCTGAACACAGAGCATTAGCATTGGCAAGATTCCTTAAACGAATTCCAGAACGTAGCCTAGCAATACTCTCGCTCTACCTCTTCTTAGCTCAACCACAAAGTTTTTTAATCTCGAAAGAACTGAAGATTAATAAGTAATATAATGTTTGAAATTCAATGAATGAGCAAATAACGTTGAGCTGAATGGATTGAAGAAAACCTTATTTAGTCTTCCTCTCTTTCTCTGATCCTCTCTCTTTTTTTCATTCACATATCTCCCTCTAGTGTATATCCATATAAAATATAAAAAATATATTTATAAATAAATATAAATATATATATACATATATGGAGTCTACGATCCAAGAAGAAACTGCCAGAGAGACATTTCGTGTGCTTTTAGAAATGAATGAAGACCTTAATTATGCAATTCAATGCTCATTTCATAATTAACTTAAAGCGAAAAGCTATTGGACATGAAACTCTAATGTGATCGTCTTTCTTTTTTTTGGAATTCTTTCAAAAATTGTCTGAAAATTCGAGAGAGCTAGACGATAATTACAAAAATGTAACCATTGCCTTCTTATTTCTCTTTTTCATTTCTGTTGCAAGTTCTTCATTCTATCCGGATGGATATCAGTCAACCAATATCTCCCTCATTCTCTTCTTTTCTTTTTCATCCTTTCTCTCTCTTTGTGTAGTACACATCTTCTTTTTCTTCATCTTTCCCACCTCCTTTTTTATCTCTCTCCGCCTCCCTCACTCTCCCTCTCTCTCTCTCTCTATCTGTCTCAGCATCTTTCTCCCCTTTTTTTCTCGAAACTACGATCATATACATACATATATACACACGCATTCAATACAAATTTTCAGTTGCCGATGACACAACGAGAGAGAGAAAAGCAAAATTATAAAAAATCAATGAATTTTTGCTCTTCCTTTTTGATCGAAAACTTTTTTCTGTACAAATAGAACATACTGACGTCCGGAGCTAAATTTTTTTTTCCAAACTGAAACGATTCGAACGATGGCCTTCGCATATAGGGACAAGCATTTCAGTGAATCTGAGACAACACCGAGTGAAGTAATTGATAAATTCCTCCAGCCCCCCTTTCTTGCGATTAACCAATAATTCGAAAGTAGTAGTTGTCAGAGAGAAAATGCCAAAAAAAGACTTCGAACACAAATAGGACAAGAATTAGCAAGAACTCGAAACGGATTTCTGTCTTGTTCACCTGCTGTCTCTACTCAGCTAATTTCTGAACTGAGATCATTCTATTGTACAATACAAGCTTTCTATGACATTCTCGAACCCTTTATTCCTTCATATCTTTTGCAAAAAATTTTCTTAAGTTCTACTCGGAATTCCTTTATTCCCGTTCATCTTTCCCGTTTCTCTATCCATTTTCGCTTCTCACCCTCTTAGCAGATGATTGTTTTCACTCTTTTTTAGCATCACAACTAACACACAGAAAGTATAAGGAAGTAAGAGAAATACGGAAAGAAAAGAAAGGAAAATGGAGAGGGTGTTAGATGAAAAGTCTAAAAAGAAAGAGAAGGTCGAGCCATAAGCAAAAAAAACAGAATTTTTATTGTTTTTCAGGAGATTCCTTCCGTGGAGCTACTTGGGTTTCTATCCATAATGGTGGCGGAGTAGGATGGGGTGACGTCATCAATGGAGGCTTTGGTATGCTTTTGGATGGAACAGATGTAAGATATCCAAATAGAAAGATTCTCTCTTTCTAGTTCAACCTCATATTCCCCAACTAGTATTTTTCCATTTTTAACAGTCCTTATCAAAATACAGCTAAAGATAGCGGTCGTTATCTATAAACTCTTAAACGTTACTTATAAGCCTATTCCCAAGAGAGAAGGAACTTTCTAGGAAGACATGATAGAGGACGAAGGACATGTCTCAAAAAATGAATGACTGATCGAAATGTTTCGACGTTTTCTCAGTTGAAAAAAATGGTGAAATATCCCCCCACCCCTATAGTTTATTAAATAAACTATGAAAAAAATGTTCTTTGTTTATAGGGAGCTGAACGTAGAGCTGAATCAATGCTTAACTGGGATGTTTGCAATGGAGTAGCAAGAAGAAGTTGGTCCGGAAACAACAATGCCACTGAAGCCATTACTCGAGCTCAGACTCAGGTAAATAGCCTATCTAGCACGATCGAACCCTACATTCGTAAAATTTAGGTGGCAGGATTGGATGTGACTCATCCAGTATACGCTGATGATACTCTCCTCGATCGAATCTTCAATTAAGCTGCTGAGTGTAAGAATGTCGTTCCATGGATTGACGCCCTTGTATGATAGCCAATAAATGTATCACTATAGAAGAAATTGTACACTCCTCAACACGTGAATACAAAGAATTATGATTCAACAGAAAGAATTCAAACAATTAACTCTACGATATAGATAAGTAATGATTTGAAGTGTTTCCGATAGAGAAAGGAACAACCTTAGGGATTAATTGGGATACTCGGAACATAATCAGAATATCTTGAACGGGTATATATCTGTATCAAAGATCTAGACTTAGAATGCGTACGTACTATTGAGAGTCTCGAAATCTAACTAATAGATACTGAGTAGTGTGTTATCGAACGCTACTTTATTTACGATGAGAGGGACAGTTTCACACCCTAAACTTTTGAGGAGCGGAAGTGGGTTTTAAAAGTCTCCCACAAGCGCAATCTAATGCTCTGGGTTAGACTTCTTGCTTATGCAGCTAACAGTTAAACTTATAACAGTTTTCTCTTAGTTAGAAAATTTATCATAATGAACAAAAACTCGATTACAATTAAGCAACAATTGCTCACATAGTCTTTAAAAAGATTGCATGTAGAGCAGGCTGTAGCGCGAAGTTGTCGACAGAATTTACAAAGCATTTAGTGAAAAGATGGGCGACAGATGAAGGAGTGTATAGAACCGCATCGACAGAAATGATACGAAAACAAGGGGGAAATAGATACTATAAGAGGTTGAGACAACTAAGACAGCTAATGACTCGATTGGCAAAAGCTGTGAAGAATAATAAATAGCTCGATTATATCATGCACATTATCAAGAAAATACCATCTATAGAAGTGTGCACTTGCTCTTTTTCTTCTTCTTTTGTTGAAGAGCTGCTTGAGTAGCTTTCTCGAATACCTCGCGAATTCCCTGGAATAGTGAAAGTAAATATTTTAAGTAGTATATGAGACTTACGTCCTTGGTCTTGGCAGAACATTCCAAATATGCGAATGCTCCAATTTGTTCTGCGATAGCTCGTCCTTGTTCGGGCTTTACTGGTTCCTTAACAGAAATGAGCATTAAAGAACGATCGAACAATACGTACCTGTTTCATTTTAGCAAGTTCCCTAACAGTTTGAGGATCATTTCTTAAATCCTTTTTGTTTCCAACAAGAATTATTGGTACATTGGGACAGAAATGCCGAACCTATTAATAAACATGAAGATGCTCTCAAATTTAAATATCTCACCTCTGGAGTCCATTTCTCTGGAATATTCTCAAGCGAATCTGGTGAGTCAATGCTGAAGCACATGAGAATAACATCAGTATCTGGATATGAAAGTGGTCGCAAGCGATCGTAATCTTCCTGTCCAGCAGTATCCCATAGAGCTAATTCAACCTAACGAACAATCAAATGAAAACATACTGAGTTTTACGATCAACATACCTGCTTACCATCGACTTCGATATCAGCAACATAGTTTTCGAAGACAGTGGGTACATACACGTCAGGGAACTGGTCTTTGCTGAAGACAATGAGCAAGCATGTCTTACCACAAGCTCCATCACCAACAATAACCAACTAAAAATTTTCGTTCAGAATATCATGAAAAATAAAGACAAAACCTTTTTTCTAATTGCAGCCATGTCTACAGACTAATGAGGGAATACCCGTCGTGTTCCCTGGAAAATATTAAAATAGGAAGAAATACACAGCGAATCACGATAAAAAGGAACAAAGTAGCAAATCAATATTCTAAGGCTTAAATGCAATCACTCAAAGATGTCGTAAGTGGATGTGATAGTCCTATCCGACTAATGCAATATTGGGCGAACAGCAAGGAGGAGTAGAAAACATGTGCAGCAGAAGCAGCAACGAACCACTTTAGTCACTCCAATGAAAACGACAACAAAACGAAGAAGGCAAAAAATCCAAGTACTCTATCATATAATATATATTATGAGGAAACAAGATGATTTCTCAACAAATGACAGCTCATACGCTTGAGAAGAGAGAAAGAGTTCAAACGATGACACATACCTATCGATCGATACGCGCCGACAGAGACGCCACTCATTCGAAAATACCGCCAAATAACATTCCCCACCCCTCCTTATAACAAATGACGCCAACAAGAAAACATTCTTTAATCGAGGCAGAGGAATAGGATGTTCAACTGTGTTATAAATATAAATTAAATAGCTGAATTAGGATAAAGTTCAAGAGATGATTGATCAAGCCATTTAATAATAACGACTTGATTCAGCAAACATCTATGATTAAAGTCCTAGCAGTTCATAGAATGAACGGAACATTGAACATAGGAGAGAAACATAAAAGTTCTGCACAGACATAGAATCCGAGCTGAAGTGTGAAAGCCAATGGCAATATGCTGTCGCTTTGGCATAATCAATTTCATTTGTCAACCAGTCGAGGCGCTGCTCAGCTCTCCGCATTGTGTGTCTAAGATTTATGAGTGCGCGTCCCTTGCTGACTCTGAGACGATTGCAGTCAATTATAGGACCATGACATAAGAAGAACCTGTTACACAAAACATTGATATTCATAGCATATCATACTATATAACGTAACAGAACCTCCAAAATACAGCCTTCCCACCCCTAAAGAATACCCTCAAATAGACCAATGAGCAGTCGCAAAGACGGTAGCGGTTTGGCTTTCATGCGAGATACCAGAAACGTTATATAGCTAAGATGTAGTTCAATTAAGGAAAAGAAGCCAAAGGACGGGAAATCAATAGATGGCGATGATGTTGGATAACCTCAAAAAAACAGAAACCTGATGAAACGATCAAAACTTCAGAAAAGCATAAGAGGCACGTCATCAAGAAAGAGTTCGGAGAAGGTATAATAGAAATACTAAACAGGTACGTCATAATAAACATCCAAGACAATATTTCCACAACTATAGACACTGACGGTATGAGAGCGTGCGCGACTGAGCAAACAGCGTCGACAGATATGTGATGATCCGAGATGTGAGATAACCCAATATCTCTTTGCATTCACCTTGTAGGTTTCCCAGAACCACTATACACTATATTACACGAAAACAAAAGATGAATCTACTAGAAAAATCGAAAACATTGTGGAAGGTTGTAAGAAAAAAACTATGCATTCCAAAAAAGAAGTTAAATTCAAAAATCAATCAAATCTTTCATATGAAAGCTTGGGAGAAGTAAATACTACTTTGGTTCAAAATTAATATTGGCTTGGGAAGTTTTAGTTGTGAGAGCGGACAACAGTTGCTTCTAATGTTATCACTTGCCCAGACTACAAAACTGCAAGAAAAACAAAAAGTAGCACATTCAGTCAGGCCATTTTGCATTGAGAAAAATACTACGTTATATAAAGCAAATACGCTTAATAGGGTTGAAATTAAGCAAAAATTAATTAAAAAATTGGCACTTTATTCTGACCAGTACGAAGATGACGCCCGAAAAAACTGAACGCTCGCGTCGCTTCGCGGCCTCTCAACGAGGTCGGCGTGGGACTCATTCCGAACCGCCCTTTAAAAATAGCGTCACTTAAGCTTCTATGTTAGAGAGAGCTTTCTACTATAAATATATTGGTTTATTAATGTTTTTGATGAGACAAAGAAAGTGAGAAGCTCGTATACCTGTTTTAAGACTGATTGTCATATATTTACAAATATGTAAGTAAACAGAGGAAATTAAAACGATTTGGACACGTAGTACAGGGAATGGAAAAAAGCAAAAAGTGATTATGTGAAAATGGCAAAAGCAAAGTGATAATAGATAATACGTGTAGGCAAGAGTTTTCATATAGAAAGAAGTGGAGAAAAGAACTAAACCAGAAACAAAAAAGGTATGGAATTCCATTGTTAGTAGCAGAAAAGTTTTTGGTGAAATGAAGGAAGGAGAAGAGAGAAAGAGAGAGTGTGACGGTTTATGTGGTGACAGTGATCAGTGCTTTGCATAACAAACAACGACCACAACTATAAGAGGAAAAGAAAAAGAAAAAAAAATGGGGGAGGGGAAAAGAGAGAGTTGGAGAGAAAAAAGGAAAAACTTAACAAAAAATATGAGAGGTATAAGTCGAACATAGTAGTCGAAATATGTATGAGAATAACGACATCTTCTTGAGATGAATGGAATAGGAGGTTGATGAGAATCTGAGAGGAAGCTGATATACGGAAATGGGAAGATTATGTTCAGACGGGAAGTTACATAATTCTTTCATAGCTTAACATTGAAAAAAGTTTAAATTTTAGTTAATTAAAATAAGAAATAAATATGTACATTTAGTTATATATAAGACAGACAAGATTAGAAAGCCGTTGGGACCCATTTTCCGATACAATGACGCCATTAGGAAAGAGGAAAGAGAGAAAACGAGAGAGGGCGTCCTTCTCTCTCTCCATCTATGGTACTGGTGCTGGTGGCGAAATAGTAAATGCGAAGGCTGCTGAACTCAGGACGTTGGGGCGGGCCATCCAAATGTCTGATTGGAACCCACCAGACCACGAAGACGTTGAATTTCAGCATAAAGACGATGCATTTCTTGTCGAAGACGCTCGTTCTCCTTAAAAGAGCTATAATTAGTGAAAGAAAATGTTGTCACAAAAAAAAGTTGCGAAAGATGAAGGGATAACGAGAGAAAATGAGACAAATCCCAACTTTTGTCTTCGAAAAAGAAGTCAATTTTACTGATTTTTTTTCAAGTTCAAATTGTCGCTAAAGATGAAACAGTGGAAAGAAGATAAAAAAGGAAAAAACTAACCACTCGTAAAAATTCTAATCCTTTGGCATTGTCTTCTTCTTTTCGACGTCGTTGCTCTCGAGATCGACGAGCAGATTCATTGTTTTTTTTCCTACGCTCATAATAACTCTTAAATAAAAAAAAAAGTAAGAGAGAGAAAGATTAGTCAATAAATTAGTTAAGTTTATTACGAAAAAACACAACTACGAATTGGCTGAACAGAGATTTATGTTTCTTCAGAAACCCTCTGGCTTTGTTTTTTTCACAAGAAAATGAGTGAGGGTGGTAGGCTCGAGGAAACCCTCGAGAATTTCAAAAATAAAGTACAAAAGTTGATGTGATGATGAAAGAAATTTTTAAGAATTATCAAACAGGTGTAGTGTTGAACACCCACGTAGGTTAGATGACAACACAGCCGGTAACCTCTCTACTCCTTACTCTCAACACTCATCATTATCTCTCTCTCACTCTCTCTCTCTCTTTATTCATGTTCATATGACCTATTCAAATAAAAAAATTTATATCTCAAACGTTATTTTTTTCGTTGATGTGTCATTTTTCAAGTACTTACCTCATCTTTTTCCTCATCAGGAACTTTTTTTTGCTTTCGTTTTGAAGCTTGAGGACTTGTTGAATCACGAAGAGGCATTTGATTAGTCAAGCTGTTGAAATAAGCAAAAGAGTTGATGGCAGAAGACTGAAAAGAAACAAATTCTTCTTTTTCGTGATAAGAAATCAGAAATCATAATGGAGCTAGAGAATTAAGAAGTTTAAAAACCTTTTGATCAGGGTTATAACCATATGAATCCATATTCCATAGATGCGTCATCATTTTGAACGCTTGTTGGTCATATGATAATTGATTAATGTTCATTTGGTTAATATCTGTCATCTCTTCTGGAAAAAATGGTTTATTATTGTTATTTTATAAGAAGCATTCGTGTATCTTTGACACAGTTGTCAAGACCCCAAGAAGGAGATGAGGTGAACAACGAAACAAGGAACGATGAGACTAGATAATCATATTATATCTTGTCTTTATTACTTTATTAAAATAAAACTCACGTAATACAAATCGCAATAAATAAAATAAAAGTCAGAGAGAGCAGAAGCCGGTGAAAGTCTTAAAAAACTAATAAGTAATCAACAGGCTGTGTCCGGTGGGTGTGTACCGGCCAGGTTGGCGGCTTCGTCCTGGAGCCGGTACTGTTCGTTGACCTGAAAGGCGGTATGCATTTGATGTTCGGCTTGACGCAATCCTTACGTCACACATCTAGTTGCATATTTCAACTTGTGTGCCCGTTATGTGCTTAAGCAGTTGGCTCATGTCACTGTGCAGATCCTTTTAGGGGAAATTGCCGAAGCGATCAGCCACCTCGTTATCTGGTCACGTAATCCTCCATAATAGAACCTGTCAGGTCAACAGGAATGTCTTCGTCATTTTTCTACGAAAACAACAGGAAAAGACAAATTATAAAAGGAAATGATGCAGTTCGTTCATCTTTCTCAGATGATCATTCTTTTTGTTTTCCATGATAATAAGAATCAGAGTTGATACTTATCCCAACGCCTCAGTACTGTTTACACACCGTAACGCTCATTATTACAATAATAATAGAAAAACACCAAAATAAAGCAGAACGTGAGTTAGTAAAGACACCGACTAACTGTGATAAAACAATTTCTTGTTGTAAGGAAATTATAGTTTACGACCATCTAAAGCATCTGCTTAAAGAAACATCAAAGAAACAGTACTGCTTGCTTGTTTCACTCATTTACTTGTCTACCTTTGTGTTCTCAGATGTAACATCTTGATTTTGCATTTTTTCAAAAAATCATCTATGACCATTTTTCATGATATATAGTGTCACATCATATATTTATCAAAAGGATGGCGTACATGATAATGATCATGATGAAAACGTTCGGAGAGATGACGATGCAGACGATCAGTTCGTTAAAGTAATCGAGGGGTTACATCCCTTACTCTTCCATCTAACATTATATAAATGAATAAGATAAGAATGTAAATTCCAGCAAAACATCTTCAACCTATTCATCAAACCATCTTCCACCAAATCAACTGTTTCATGAATTTCACGTGAAACGATAAGTGACTAGCTCTTCGATGTCATTTGCACTCCGTACGAAATGTTATTTTTAAAAAACTTTGTTATCATAGAAGTTATTTATTGTTTTCAACCTGTCAATATTAATTATTTTATATAAAATAAATTGAAACAGTAAAAATTGAAAGATCATTAACACATACACACAAAAAATGAGAATAAAGAGTTGTTTTTCATGAATTGTATCGACGTCAATGGCATACATGTTACTCCCGTGAGAATCAGCTTAATTGATACCTTCATTATGAAATATAAAAATTTTATTGTTGAATCTAGTCTATGATTTGAAAGTTTAAGAACATTGCTGACTACAATATATTGAAAGAGTGAACATGTAGATATCTCGTGTATATGTGTGCAATCCCACAAATTATAAGTGACGAAATCTTTTATGGATATCATGAGAAGCCAGAATATATGAAGTAAGCGTCGAATTCTAAAAATCTTCTCATATTCTTCATGTATCCATTTACTTACTAATATTTGTGAAATTGTGTCTCTTTGACGAATCAATTTACACGAAAATGAAGTACACAATGATACACGTCTAGGTTTTTCTTCAAAATATAATTTGAATCGGAGAAGAGTTTACTCTCAAACATATTCTTTCATGTTGAAGTTACTTTGTGAAGTAAAATGAAAAAAAAAGAAGGCAAAGAATAGAAAGATGAAGAAGATGAAAGAAAAAACAAAACATGATTCTACGTTTGTTGATTTGAAATTATTAAAAAAAAAACATAAAAGAAAATCATTTATCAGTTGAGATGTTGCTGCAACATAAACTTTATCCGTCTCAATCTCTTTGCTTAACTCTATGCATTCTCTGAAAACGAGGGAGGAAAGGAAACCACAATACGAATTACAGTAAAATTACAGAAATAATATAACAAATTGGTTGAAATTAACTATATTGTCTTGGACAGATGTATATCGAAACGGAAATATGGTGGGGGAGAGGGGATGAAGCTGAAGAAGAAAGTCAGTAGTTGCGTTTTAATCTCCTATAAATCACAAGTTAAGCATGTAAGAAGGTCAAAGTGAATGATTGAATAGCTATACGTTGTGTCAAGCAGGTGCAAAGAAGGGAAACAATCCGCTGAGATAGTGTTATTAACGTAAAAGGACTACAAAAGTTCTATGCAAGACAGATGGAGGGAGGATGAGATGTTAAAGCGGCTTCAAATCCAAGCCAATTAATGGAAGAGACTAATAGAGTTGAAGTCAAAGAGAGTGAGAAGGGATAATTTTGAAATATTTTGAATTCAAAATACTATTCAAAATTAAAGAAAAAGAAGATGTCAATGGAGTAGAAGTAGAAGAGAAAAGAAGAAATGGAAGGAGAAGAAGAAGAAGTTGGAGTTAAGTTAACAGAAAAACAAATGGAACTAACCATTTGACGAATATTATGATTTTTATAATTATGATTGAAATAACAGAAACAAAGAAGAAAAAAAAAGTAAAAAAGAATATTTTTTTTCTTCAAAATTCTTCCATCTTTTATCATTTTGTTATTTCTCTGAAGAACAACAGAAGGTCTTCAAGTAATTCATAGTACATTTATTCATGCAGCAGCGAGTAGCAATCCCATCCCGTTTAACAGTTCGATGAACTTCAATTGCATCAATTGGACTGTCCCAAGACGACTCTGTGTCTACTGAAATATATTCTTGTAAAACTCTGTTGAACTATGAGGAGGCGAGTTCTGTTAACTATCATCTTCATCATGCCTACTACTTTCATCTTCCGGATTTTTTTATTTCACACCTCTATACTTGAACAGACTTACCCGGTTGTTGAACGTATCCTCCACACAACTGATTTCGGCATATGGCTAAAATAGTTCTTGTCAAGCGCTGCCCACAAAGACGAATGTTGGCAGTATCAGCTGGATAAGATGTCAGAATAACCATGAAAAGGATGAATGTTGAAATTCTGAAGTAATAATGAAGTCATAGAGACAACTGTTTTCCAGTCAGATACCTGTAATGACGTTGGAGTAGGAAAACGCCAGTCATTTTTAGAAAACAATACCTGGAAAATGAAATTTATCTGAGATCATACAGATTAAGAAAGAGAGGGAAAGAGATGAATAGATAACATAAAAGAGTTGGTAGTAGAAGAGAATAAGAAACGTAGAAGGAGCATTCTGTACATGGCCTGAGTGAATTACTAAGAAACAGAGAAATGTGAAATAGCGAGACATGAAATTACGAGATGTTAATTGCGGGTTTTGAGAAAGAAAATTTGAAGAATTTGTTCGAATGCTTGTGATGTCTGAAGGTGTTCTTCTGAGAAGAACGAGCAAGATGAACGAAAAAATGCAATAGGGGATCATTCGACCATTTCCGGTCGCATGAATGCTGCCTAAGAATGTTTCGAGAATGGAACGATGGGTTAAGAAAGAATTTGAGATAGATTGTGATTTTTCGAATTGTCTCGACACTTTCAAAGCATCTCTGATAGGGGAGTTCAAGCTGAATAGATGGTTGAAAGAAAGGAAACCAATGTCAGAGCAAGTGAAAGACCAGTATATGTAAGCTAATTAGCTAGTAGGAGATTCCGTCCGCCCTAAAAATGTGATTCGTAAGACGACGACATCGACGTTGACGTATTCGAGAAGACGTCAGTGATAGTTGTCTATTGAAAAATGAGTTAAATGCCAATTTTTTTGGCTCTCAAACAAAGTCGGAAGCATGACGGTTTTCGAGATTGAAGAATGCGTCATCGACATCTATGAAAAGATGCATTGATGTAAAATTAGTTAAATATAAATAATAAATATGAGACTATCGTTCACAAAAACATCAATCAGTCTCATCTTTAGCGTCAGCATCAATGAATGAAGGATATGGAGTAAATATGAAAATACCATATGAGTTCAATGACCAAAATTAACTTACATATTAGGGAAGTTGTCATCTACAGCCGAGATGATGGGCTTCAATCATTTCTCTCGTCATACATATGTGTTTCATACCGCGAACAAGCTTCAATCCCACCTCTCTCACACACCCTGTTTCTCCCTCCCTCCTTCTCTCTCTCTCTCTCCCATTTTTTTCACTAATTAGAAAAAAAAACGAGAAAGTAAGTAAGAAAAGCAAAGAAAAGACATAATAATTTAATTAAAATTACATTTTTTTCAAATGCAACCGCTCTCTTGAGTCAAATATATGCAAAATGAAGTTTAGTCTCTACACGTGAGTTTCTACGTAATACGTGAGAATCCCATGTGTTTTTCTTGAGAATGTTGAGCAAATTTTATTTTTGTTAATAATGAAAAGAAAAAAAAGAATGAAAAATGCTAAAAATGATTTTACTGAAGAAGGATAGGTTTTGATAAGAAAGAGAGGGAGGCGAGGGGGGGGGGGGGAGTTTGAAGAGGGAGAGAGAGAGAGAGAGAGTTGAGCAAAGGGAGGGGGAATGAAGATCTCCGGTTAAAAGCATTCGCAAGTCAAAACATTAATGAGTTAATGCATTATAAACATTCAGCTGATAAATTTCGAAAAACTTTACAGTTTTTTCTTGAAATTCATTAAATTCGAAAAAACGGACAGGAAATTGGTTGGATGTGTCTCGGACAAAGTCAATTTCGCTTTATGAATCATTTTAATTATTTAGGCGGATGTGATAAGTTTGGAAATTGCTTAAAGTCTAGCCGGCAATTATCACTAATTCCTCATCAAAAACTTTTTTTTGTTGTTGTTTCTTTGATTGAGGGGTTGTGCGAGATGAGATGTGAGAAGTCATATGATCTAAGCGGCCATCTAACATCCTCCCTAATTATGACAAAAGTTCTTTTTTTTATTTCATATTTTAAACTGAAACATATAGTTATACTAATATTTATAAATAGACTTAGTTGTAGACGTACTACGTGGTACGGGTACGGAGCTTAACCGTACAGACGTGGATGGAAGAACAAACATTCCAGATATTTCCTTAATTTGAAAAAAAAAAGAAAGAGAATATCATCTGTTGTGTCTTATCTCATGAGAATTATTTTTACAAAAGAGGTAACTCCTCTTTGTTTCTCTCATCTCATTCTACAATAATGATAAATAGAATGATGTTTTAGATCAAAATAAAGAAAAAGAAGTTATCGGTGTATGAATGAGCCCGTTCCTTGGCACCAAGAGAAATGAAATGTAATGAAGAACGATCCAATTTAGAATTGGACAAGATGGTGGAAGGCTGTCATCAGTGCTTGGAATATCATTTCGAATGCATATATGAAGCTTTCACATGTAGGAAAGCAGAAAAAAAAACGTTCGAAAAGGGGCGAATATTGGTTGTTAAATGGCTTTAAAAATTGGAGAAATGAGTATAAGCAGAGGATTATTCAATGCAAATCATAGATATATGAAGAAACAGAATGAGATTTGAGGTCAAAAAAAGTATTTTGAGAAGATGAACGAACGTAACTGAGATGTGCTTTCAATAGAAGGAAGTATCTTTCCTTTTACTCTTTTCTCTCTCTCTCATACACACAAACTCATTCGTATAGCTTTATCAGAAACATATCGCCGAGGACGTTCTGTGTGTAGGAGGACAGACAGCGAAAGATGTAGAAATTAAAAAAAAAGTAAAAAGGAAAAGGGGGAGTGATGTGTATGGGAGGAGTTTACATTGCTTTATGTAAATTGCTATTAGGAAAAGATAAAAAAAAAAACTTCGCATGAGGAAAAGATTGAAAAGAGCAAAAAGAAAACGATGAAAAGGCAAGTGAGACGAAAAAAAAAATAGTTTTCCATTTTCCATTTGTCGAATACAAAACTTTGTGACATCTACTAAAATGCCAATCTTGCAGTTGTTCAATTCTGTTTGATTTAAAAAATCCATTTATGGAATCTAAAAAAGGAAAAGAAGAAGGTGTGGATGATAGTAAGAGAGTGGGAGAGTTTAGGAAGATAGTTTACAAAAGAAGCCTGTAACAAGAAATTGTAATCTGGTGGAGCCTTACAATAGAGATCTCAAGTTGTGTAGAAGGTCGAAGATGAAAGTAAGCTTCTAACAAAAGCTTTCAATCTGAATCATTTATATAAGCGGAATAGGCTTGCATCATCCGCTTATAGTTAATGCTTCTCAGATGTTTTGAGATGACAGCTGAACACTGAATATTCTCAGAGATAGCTCTGTCATCCTTAAGAAGGAAATGCATTAGAATGTATGTTTCAGTTTAATTGGATGATATTTAGTATGAAATATCTTTACATATTTCATAAACAAAGTAATTTTGCAATATCTAATTTCATTCACAATAATTTTTAATTTTGAAAAATTTGTCTTTTTTCAACTATTTTTCATGATTCTATTCATCTTCTATTTATATATCTAAATATCTATACATGTATTCATTCTTTGCTTCACAACATCTTCCGACTTTCTGTAAATCTTTCATCGTATTAGTCTGCTGCTGCTGCTGATGACCACGTTGAACTGATTCTTGGTGGTTTGAGGCATGGAATTCCATATTCATCTTCACATTAATTTCCGGATATGCTTCATTCTTTTGCTCTTCTAAGTGTTCTCTAAAGGTTCTCTACTAAGAATCAAAGGATGTTCCTCCTATTGCTGACGAGTGAACCTGAGTTCTCATTCTCAAAATACGTTTGTCGCCTTCATCTTCTTCTTTTCCTCTTCTACAACCCATCACGCCCGCCCGCACACACACATACCCACACGCACACACGCCACACACATAAGAGAGAGACACACAAAAAAAGAGGAGGAAACTTGAAATAAAAACATTTCTCATATTTTCCATGAAGCTTTTTGTAATTCAGTGTAGTCGAAATAGAGAAAACTAATTAGCTTCCTAATTTGAATATGTTAATTTCGATTCGCTTTCAAGATATCCAGGTTTCTTCCTTGTTCAAGCGAAATGTCAACCGACTGTTGCGTCATCGTACCAAACACAAATTTTGTATCATGAAAACTGAAAAATATTCTAATAACTCAAAGAACTCTTAATTGCTTCTATTTTCAAATTACATATGTTATATATAGAGTTAAGGGTGAGAATGAGAATGAGCAGCTTGTGCTTGCCTGTGGCTGCATGTATCTCATGTATGTCATAACAAGATTAATTTGTTTATAATCAAAGCACTAGATGTTTATGAATATTATTTATTTGTTAATAAAACTGTGAAAAAAAAAAACATTTTTTTTCGTCAAAAAAGAAATACTCACAGGTAAAGAAAGGAGATTGAGAGATAGATAAAGAGAGATAAAGAGTGTGTGTATGTGACAAAGCACTTTCTACAAATACGTATAAAGCTTAATAAATTAAAGTTTGAAGAAACATATGTATATGCATATTAATATAAATGTTAATTAAAGTGAAATTACAAGATATGATATAATTGATATGAATTCTATATGGGAATGTGATATTTCATAAAACAATAATCACAGAAAAATCAAAAATCATCAAAGTTTAATGAAAAAGATCATGTTCAAGCCAACCTAAGCTGAACACCATGAAAAAGCCGATGAAAAAGCCGAGTGATTGTAAAGTACAAATGACAAGCCAGTGATCACGATGAACTCCGTCATGCTTCAGATGAGCTAACTGAAATGGATTATCATATTACTAATTAGAGTGATAGAAGAGATTCTAACCATATCAATCCATGCTACATACAAGAACATTCCAGCTGTTAGAGCAAGTAACATCTTTTCAGCTTCAGCATTATATCCTGAATTGAGAATATTCTCAGCTTAGTTTTTCATATATTGGGTACTCTAACCTAAAGCAATACTTCCATACAATCCTATGAAAGCTGTTAGAGCAGACAGAAGATTCAATGCCAATGCTTTCCACATGCTTAATCCAGAATCTAGCAAGACAGCGAGATCTCCTTAAAGACAAACAAGATACAGTACTTTGATCTTAGTCAAATATACCGAGTTCGTGTGGCAGTTCGTGACATACAACGGCAATAGTTGTTATAATGCCTAATTGGGTTGAAGCTAGATATGAAGCCCCGATAGCGACTCCGTCAACCAAATTATGAATTCCATCTCCCATCAAAATTACAACGGCTCGGCTCTGCAGAAAAATATGAGCTGATAACGGAAATAAAATGAAGTTTACCTTCAAACCGCAACAATACGCTGTTTGTTCAGCATTTTCTTCATCATCAGTGGATATATCACTTTTCTGACAAGCTGAAACTCTGAAAAACAGATGAATGAAGTTTGATGTTGAAAGTTTGAATTCAAATGAAAGGATGAATAAGGTCATTACCTTGAGTCGCTTAGGGAAGATTCGCTATCCTCGAAAATTTCTTTGCCAGCAATGCTGTGTCCTTCAGGTATTTTACACTGAATACAGACTGTCACTCTTAGATAGAATAAAAAAAAACATACCCGATGAGTTTTCTTTCTGTTGTAAACTATGAACTCCATCAAATAGAGAAGATATACGGCTATCATGATGAGTGAGAGATACATAAGGATGGTTCTGTCTTCAGTGATAGTCCATAGATCAACCTAAACATGAAAATGTATATCCATTCTTTAATTTAGTTTCAAATTTGTTTATTACATATGTAAAAATGTATTGAAACATACGTGATCATGGGAATGATCATGAGAATGCTCATGTGAATGTTGATGAAGATGATGTGGCTCATCATTTGCAGAATCATGATCCTGTTCAAGAATGACTTTTAATTATCTTCATTATATAAAAAAAAATTACTTCAATTGAATGACTCGAGTTATGAGAATGATGATGATGTTGATGGTTATGATGTTGATGAGAATGATCCTGATGAGCGTCGCTGCCACTCGTAGTGTTCAAATGCTCTGCTTCGCTAGAGTGATTATGTAATCCCAAAATCTGAGAAAATAAAAACTCTTCAATGAAAACAAATGTAAAAAACTACTTGGGGAATAATATGTAGAAGGGCATCTGAACTCAATGTTGCAACAGCCATGGATATGAAAAAGTGCATCCATCTGTAAGAGGAAAAGAAAAAAAAATAAAGCGATATTGCTAAAGAACAATGAAGGAAGTGCTGTAACTCACCTATTTTTGGATGGACCACGCAAAAGAGGAACAATAAAGGCTCCGGCTAAAGATAGAAGAGAAACAAGGCCAGTTGAGATTGAACCCAATAGTATAGCTATAATAATTATGATGATAATTTAAAAAAAATTGATGAAGATTAGTGAAACCTCGTGCGACGTGCGGCATGTTCAGAGACGTTCTGATCCTTCGGGAATTCTTGTGATAAATCGGCGTGGAGTTGATAAAAGAGAGGAGTGTGTGCTTGACTATGGTCAAGACAAATAGTAAACTGAAATGGATCTAGTTAGAAGAGTTAGTACTTGATGTTTCAAAGAATGATGCAACAACATCTAACTGAGGCACAATGCGAACTATTTCGAAAAGAGGTGAATTGCTCAAATGAGGTGTTTGATTAGATTTCTTTTCTATTATTCTCTGTACTCTAGGATAGGTTTAAAGAAAAAATAGCCTTATTCAAGTTATTTTTGCTTTACAAACATTGAAGAACGCTTGTGACAGCTAGTGATGATGGCATAGATAGAGTGTGCAGAGATAAAAAAGAGATGAAAGCATTAAAGGAAGCTGCGAGAGAATGAGAAGAAACCTGATACGATAAAAGCAAGCAAGCCTAAGACTGTTGATGATAAACTGGAATAAAAGACTGTCAAGATGAACGGCATGGCCGGCTTTCTTTTTCCCTCTTTTCACTTTCTCATTGTCTTTAAACTCCGCGAAAAACACAGTCCCACATTTATTTTTTAGACGGTCAAAATGGTTCATAAAATGAAAAAAACATAACAAAGTGATCTGTCAGTGGAAAAGCTTTTATAATTTTCGTTCTTCGTTCAGAGAGAAAGTGAAATGAGAGGTGTGAAGGGTGAGAAAGAGGGAGAAGAGCAAGTCTGCGGACATGATAAAACAAAAATTATGAAGAAATACACTAAGCAACAAGAGTGGAAGAGGAAATAATCGAGGAAACACTAGCAAAACAATCCTAATGGGCAAATCTTTCACTCCCTCTCTCTCCCTTTTGACAATGCTTGTGAACATTGTTCGAACGAAACAAAAAAAGCTGCTGAACTAAATGGAGGAAAAAACTCTTCACATAGTAAACGGTTATGTGTATATGACCAGAGATAATCAAAATGTTGCCTCATCTAGCATGGGTTGTATTGAAAATGTAAGAAAGAAAAGATATACATCAAATGAAAATAGTTGCTTAGTTTGGTAAACCCCCCCCCCCCCCTCATCTCCTCCCCGGAAACACATGAATAGAGTGTGAGAAAGGGAGATCATGTAGATATTGTAAAACATAAACCAGAAATAGTCATATCCATGACCTAAAGCTACAGGAAGAGACCTTATATAATAGATTATAAGAAAGAGTATATACATGTATATATATAGAAATATAAATGAATTGAATAAGCAAACATACTTGTTTAAATGCTTTGAAAGTAATTGCTGTTGTGATTGTTTTAAATGTAAAAGATAAATCTACGAAATTGCAGTTCGTTGGAAGGTATTGTGTAACTTAAGAGATTGTCAGAGTGATCATAGAGAAAGGTATTAAAATGAAACTACAAAATAGGTATTTGATCGAAGAAAGAGAGTAATACCTTGGTTCATATGAACAATCACAGGATGAGTACTAAGAAGTTACTAATTGACCAACCGATCATCACAATGCAATCGGCTTAAAATGAAAAATGAATTGTGGTACGTGCGAACGGTTGATACTAAATGATCCAAAAAATGAATTTTTGAATATCAGTGAGATGTGTGATTGTGATGAAGGATGAGAAGAGAGAGAGAGAGAGAGAGAGAGAGAGGATAAGAACGAATAGTGTTTGAATTAGAACGAAAGCTTATAAAATGGTTGTTCATTGGAAAAATAAACAAGGATTCATGTGATGTGATATATCAAACATATTATTTTTTAAAAGAAAAACTGGCTTTCAAGAAAATACTCCAGAAAAAGCTCCGAAAAAAACATTTTTTTTTGTTGAAAAGTGATTTGTATGTATTTCTGTTTGCAGGTTCACTTTAATATTCTTTCAATGCTAATTCACGTCATTGAGAGAATGAGAGAACACCATATGTTATGAACAAAAGAGTTTTAAAAAAGAAAAAGCTTTATGAATATATTCAAGGTAGCCAAGAATTAAAGATGCTTGTAAGTTCAAAGTTGGTCTGTGTGTGTGTATGTGAGCAAAGGTGCGTGCTGTTCTCTATCATATTCGTATTTCTGTTTCTCTTTTCATCTTTCTTTTTTGTGTGTGTTGTTTATTGGCTGAATGAGGTAAGCATATGATGAAAACAATCAAATTTGAGGCACTTTCTGATTTTGTTCAAAAAGAAACAGTACTATAGAGTTGTTAGATCAATAAATAAAAAAAAAATTACTTCTGAATGATCTGATGGACAACTTATTGAAAACAGGATTCATCCATTCTGACTTGTTATTCAATGAATTCAAAACTCAATTCAATTATGAATAAAGAGTATTCTATTAACTATATTGAATATAATATTTTAGATTAGCTGAAAGATGTTTAAGCATATCAACTACTGTACTCATTATATGGTTTGTATTCAATGCATATATGGCTGAAGAAGAAGTATACAGTAATTCATATAAGAATTTCTGCATTGTTGAAAATTTTTCACAATCAAGTAACACGTATAGGATGTGTTAAGTGATTGTAGAAGTACTATTGATGATTATAGAGATACATTTACACTTGGATTAGCTACTCATACATCAATACAGTTTCTCTATAATATATTTGAGCAGGTCTTGAACAAGTTATACTATACGAATAGATAACTTATTACTTAAGATAACATCATTTGATGGTTCAATATCATTAAGTATCTACATTGAAACTGATATTCAAAGTACAATCAATTTTATTAATAATTTTTATGAATGTGAAAAAGAGAATATGAGAAGCGTTCATCTACATTTGGTGTTTAGGAGGTCAGCACATAGAACAGTTTCGTTTATATATCTTATAATTAAGGTCTTTCTTTGAGGACAAGTGTCCAAGTTTTACTAGGAAAAGAGTTAGTTGCCGATATTACAACAGATTAAATGGTATTTCTCTATTCATGTTTCTATGTTTTCTTCATAGTTAATACCATTCTCGTGCCAAATTACAGTAATTGAAGACCCTGTTGATCTTTGTGTTGTACACCTATTATGAAACCAAATTCCTTTTTTTTTTTCTTTCTTTTTTTTTCAGTTCTACAGTTCTTAGGATCATTGCCTACGCCAGAGCTATCATATCCAATAAATTTGATGAGAAACATAGCTCGAAAAGCTTCACCATCTCATATTTCTATTCTCTCAGATATTGAGATGATTTTTATGCGAAATGTTGCCAAAATGGTATCTCCTATACTCAAAAAACGTAATAGACGCATCGCCTTCATCATTAGGTTAGAAGGCATTCCTATCTATCGAAACAATGGATTTCAGACGATTCGAAATTGAAGAAAGTATGAACTATCCGAGAAATATGAAAGAGTTGCATGATATGTATAAGAACGGAACGTAAACAACAAAAGACGATTGAAGTAAAGATATTTGTTGAATTGCAGAGCCATAGTGTTTCACAACTTGTATTTCCCAGAAGGTCATTCAATAGAGCGTTTGGATGAGTGGTTCAATTATTCATTATCAACGAATCGTCTAAAAGCTTTTAGAACTAACTATAAGTGCGTAGCTAAGATTGTGCTGTGTCTTAGCTCGAGAAAAACCTTTTTTTCCAGAAACAGCAACTGGGAACCTCAAATAGTGTTGAGTAAAGATGATCCATTGCATGATGAAGATATACCAACAAGACATCGGGATCATCAGGCATTGGTAAGTCTACGTTATGCATTTTGAAGTGTTCTGGACGTAAAAGAAAGTTTTGTTGCTCATTTAAGGTTTATGAGTTGTGCAGAGCTGGACATAGTTTTTATGTTCTTTCACACGTGTTTAATGTTCATCGAGGTTTCAAAAAACATACTTCCGGTCATGAGGCTAAAGTGAGGATTACAGGAAAACCCACATAGTGTGTTCATTGTGTTTCAGACTTTTCTTAAAGGAATTCCAAATGTGGAGAGTGCTTCTACAAACTTTATTCGCAGAATGAATCGATTGTACCCAAATACTGGCAGAACATGCCACAAGTGGAATAATAATGTAATAAATAAATAATTAATTATGTTTAATAAGTAATATTAGTTAGTTGAATCTTTTCCCAAGACAACTGCGTGAGCGCAGTAGTCTGGAATTAGTCTCGGACACAACAAGTTATCCATTCTGGTCCGGTAATACTGCTTCTTGACAGTTAACATTTCTTACAATTCTAAAATAATCAAATGTACGATTTCAATTGTACATAGTCACATACAGAGCAAACTCAGATCCTGCCATGTAGACCCAATCTCCATTGACACAATCAAGCTGAGCGTTTACAGTAGGTTCATGAGCTCCACTGCCTGGACCTCCAATGGCATTGTTGAACTAAAACATAACTATGTATGATTGATATGGAAATTTATAAAACCTGCATGGATGAAAAGAACCCGGGTTGTGAATTACAAGTTACTGTGAGTACATCACAGTTGAGACTAAAGGAAAATATTCAATAAAACCTCAAGAAAATTAATAATCATTACTCTGATACAGGGTCTGTATTCCAAGGATTTCCAGGATTATCTAAAGATATAGTATCCAATGAACAACCCTCACAAGCTAAAATATAATATTATTCACAGTAATTAGTAATTGAAAGTTGGTTAATTGAAAACTGAATCATAGTAACTATGAAATATTAGCTGTCTTTATTTAGTGAAAAATAAATGTGAGAGAAGTTTGTGATGTGCTGTCATTTGTTGTTTTAGAATAGAAAAAATCGTTATGTGAGTGAAAATTGTTTTGAATTGAAAAAATAAATAAAATAAATGAAGCTGTTCTCTCCATAATTTAATTATAATTAGATTGTTCTGCAAATAAACTTGCAAAGTTCGATGTTAAAATAAACTTGCCCACTGTCGTCGTTTCTTGTACTGTAGTTGTTTCTGCAACAGTGGTGGTTTCTGGAAGAGTTGTCGTCTCTTGTACAGTTGTTGTTTCAGGGACTGTAGTGGTGACAACTTCTGTGGTTGTTACGATTTCTGTGGTTGTTTCAAGTGCAGTGGTAGTTTCTGTGATAGTAGTTGTTTCTTCAGTTTGCATAGTTGTGGTGTCCGGAGCTGGAGATGTCGTTAACTCGGGAGGTGATTGTGTTGTGGTTGTGATCTCAGGTGCTGTAGTACTAGTTATTGAAGGTGTTGTTGTGCTCTCCTGGACTGCAGTAGTGATACTTGTTAGTTATTATGTTATACAAGTGTTTGAATATCAAGCACAATTGTTATTGTGTTGATCGTACATTGAAGGCAAAGTACAACCATGTAGAAGCTTGGAAATAGTTCAACTGTAACACGCATCAAGAAGAATTGAACGAACTTGTTGAAGTTTTGAACTTGCTAACAGTTTGGTTGGCGAACGACTTTCCAAATATGAACCTTATTAGTAGGAGCGATAGATCGACACATGCAGTAGTGATACGTCGAATACAAATTAGTTAGTATGAAAAGTGTAATGAAAGGATGGATTCTTTTTCTGTATAGATTCTTCTGCAAGGATTTTTTGTTGCTTTTCATAAAAGATAAGTAATCAGCTAATAACTAGGATATCTAGTTGTGCGATTGTTTTGTAAACTTAGGCGATTCTTTCGTGGCGTAATTGTTGGATGTTCTAATGTTTCGGGCAGTAATGATTCTAGGTGTCTCTTTGGTTAACAGTAGATGCGGCAATGTCGTCTCCGTTTTAGGATGATAAGGAGTATTTCTTAGACCTTTCGTAGATGAATGAAAAATTCTTATTTTTGAATCTAAGCTAGTAGGACGATTTGACGCCATTACTATGTTCTCCAGTGTAGGATGTCGGGACCACTCCGGAACTACTCTGACTGTGGAAGAAGAAAATGTTTTCCTTGTATACCTAGTTGAAGTAAGAAGCCTTGTTCTCGTCCTCCCCTCCGTCGTAGAAGAATACATTGTCTTACTTGTACTCACGGTTGAGAGCTTCTCAGATATTTTCCTGATGTTTTCAGCTTCCGGTGGCAAGGACGTCTTCCCCATACGTTTGGTTGAGAGATAGTAAGCTGATTTTGTGATGAATCTACTTGTAGCATTATGAGTTGTCCTTGTCGTACTTGCCGAAGTAGGATAGTAGGTAGTGTTCGTCGTAATTTTAGTTGTGGGGTGTTCATATATTTTTGTATAATGTCCAGAGAAACGATGCTCAGACATATTTCTAGTATTTTTAGATGTGAGTACTGCTGTAGTTGTACGATAACCGAAGGTCTTTTTTCTTCCTTTTGGTGTAGGATAGAACGTCTCTCTCGTATTAAAACGGGACGGTGTTCTTGTCGTGCTTCTTGTAGTAGGATAGCATGGGGACCTACTTGTTGCTCTCGTAGTAGGATGACAGGGTGGTCTACTTGTTGCTCTCGTGATAGGATGACAGGAAGTTCTTCTTGTACTTTTTGTTGCAAAATAACAAATTGGCCTGCTTGTACTTCCTGCTGTAGGATAACAGAGAAGCTTTCTCGTTCCTCTCGTAGTAGGAGGACAGAAGGTTCTTCTCGTACTTTTTGTAGTTGGATGACAAGAAGGCCTAGTTGTCGCTCTCGTAGTAGGATGACAGGAGGTTTGCCTCGTACTTCTTGTCGCAAAATAACACAGAGGCCTTGTCGCTGTAGGAAAACAGAGGAGCCTTCTCGTACTTCTCGTAGTAGGATAACGGGGAGTCGTACTTGTTGCTCTCGTAGTGAAGTGACCGGAAGTTCTTCTAGTACTTCTCGTAATAGGATAACGGGGAGTCGTACTTGTTACTCTCGTAGTAGAATGACCGGAAGTTCTTCTAGTACTTCTCGTAATAGGATAACTGGGAGGCCTACTTGTAGCCCTCGTAGCAGGATGACTAGAAGTTCTTCTCGTACTTCTCGTAGTAGGATAACGGGGAGTCGTACTTGTTGCTCTCGTAGTATAATGACAGGAGGTTCGTCTAGTACTTTTCGTTGAAAAATAACACCGAGGCCTTGTCGCTCCTCGCGTTGTAGGATAACACAGAAGCTTTCTCGTACTACTTGTAGTAGGGTAACAAGGAGACCTACTGGTTGCTCCCGTAAAAGGGTGATCGGAAGTTCGTCTCGTACTTCTCGTAATAGGATAGCCGGGAGGCCTACTTGTTGATATCGTAGAATAATCACAGAAAGTTCTTTTCGTACTTCTTGTCGCAAAATAGCAAAAGGACCTGCTCGTACTTCCTGCTGTAGGATGACAGAACAGTCTTCTCGTTCCTCTCGTAGTAGGGTGACAGGAGGTTCTTCTCGTACTTCTCGTAGTAGGATAACGGGGAGACCTACTGGTTGCTCTCGTGGCAGGATGACATGAAGTTCTACTCGTACTTCTCGTTGAAAAATAACAAAAAGACCTGCTCGTACCTCCTGCTGTAGGATAACAGAGGAGCCTTCTCGTGCTTCTCGTAGTAGGATAACATGAAGGCCTAATTGTGGTTCTCGAAATAGGATGACAAGAAATTCTTCTTGTGCTTCTTGTAGTAGGATAGCAGGGAGACCTACTGGTTTCTCTTGGAGTATTAAGACCGGAAATTCTTCTCGTACTTCTCGTTGAAAAATAACAAAAAGGCCTGCTCGTACCTCCTGCTGTAGGATAACAGAGAAGCCTTCTCGTGCTTCTCGTAGTAGGATAACCAAGAGGCCTACTTGTTGTTCTCGCAATAGGATGACAAGAAATTCTTCTTGTGCTTTTTGTAGTATTATAACAGGAAGACCTACTTGTTGCTCTCGTAGAAGGGTGATCGGAAGTTTGTCTCGTACTTCTTGTAATAGGATAACTGGGACGTCTATTAGTTGTTTTCGAAGTAGGATGACTGGGAGGCCTCCTTGTTGCTCTCGTAGAAGAGTGATCGGAAGTTTTTCTAGTACTTCTCGTAATAGGATAACTTGGATGCCTACTTGTTGCCCTCGTAGTAGGATGACAGGAAGTTCTTCTCGTACTTCTCGTTGAAAAATAACAAAAAGGCCTGCTCGTACCACCTGCTGTAGGATAACAGAGAAGCCTCCTCGTGCTTCTCGTAGTAGGATAACATGGAGGCCAACTTGTGGTTCTCGAAGTAGGATAACAAGAAATTCTTCTTGTGCTTCTTGTAGTAGGATAGCAGGGAGACCTCCTTGTTGCTCTCGTAGTAGGATGACAGGAAGTTCTTCTCGTACTTCTCGTTGAAAAATAACAAAAAGGCCTGCTCGTACCACCTGCTGTAGGATAACAGAGAAGCCTCCTCGTGCTTCTCGTAGTAGGATAACATGGAGGCCAACTTGTGGTTCTCGAAGTAGGATAACAAGAAATTCTTCTTGTGCTTCTTGTAGTAGGATAGCAGGGAGACCTCCTTGTTGCTCTCGTAGTAGGATGACAGGAAGTTCTTCTCGTACTTCTCGTTGAAAAATAACAAAAAGGCCTGCTCGTACCACCTGCTGTAGGATAACAGAGAAGCCTCCTCGTGCTTCTCGTAGTAGGATAACATGGAGGCCAACTTGTGGTTCTCGAAGTAGGATAACAAGAAATTCTTCTTGTGCTTCTTGTAGTAGGATAGCAGGGAGACCTCCTGGTTGCTCTCGTAGTAGGATGACAGGAAGTTCTTCTCGTACTTCTCGTTGAAAAATAACAAAAAGNCTCGTAGTAGGATGACAGGAAGTTCTTCTCGTACTTCTCGTTGAAAAATAACAAAAAGGCCTGCTCGTACCACCTGCTGTAGGATAACAGAGAAGCTTCCTCGTTCCTCTCGTAGTAGGATAACATGGAGGCCTACTTGTGGTTCTCGAAGTAGGATAACTAGAAATTCTTCTCGTAGCTCTCGTAGTAGGATAGGCGGGAGGCCTATTTGTTGCTCTCGTAGAGTGATCACAGGAAGTTCTTCTCGTACTTCTTGTCGCAAAATAGCAAAAGGACCTGCTTGTACTTCCCGCTGTAGGATAACAGAGGAGCCTCCTCGTGCTTCTCGTAGTAGGATAACATGGAGGCCAACTTGTGGTTCTCGAAGTAGG